TCCGTCCTCTCCTGCACTGCCAGTCCTGACCCCGCTGCTGCCTCCTCAGCAGCTCCGGACGGGGCAGCAGCTGCCGGCTCGGCCTCCGTGGGACTGCCGGGGAGAGGAGAGGCGCTGGGCAGGGCAGGGGCTGCCTCTGCTGCCACCTCTGTGCCCACGGGGCTGGCAGAGCTGGGCCCCTCTGGGGGAGAAGGCTGGGTGTCCCCCTCCTTCACTGGGCCCACAGGCTTCTCCCCAGAGCTGGAGCTCACATCGTCCTCCTCCTGGGACAGCTCTTGGATGAGCGAGACTGTCCCCTGGGACAGCTCTGGCTCCACTTCTCCTTCCTCTTCCTCACTGTTGGATGACCAGTCGCTGTCCGGAGCCAAGGCCTCCAGGCTCCAGTGCTGTGACTGCACTGGCCCTGCCAGCGCCAACACTGCCCACTCCGGCTCCTCCTCCTCCTCAGCAGCTCCAGCCGGGGCAGCAGCTGCCGGCTCGGCCTCCGTGGGACTCTGTGGGGCAGGAGAGGCGCTGGTTAGGGCAGGCACTGCCTCTGCTGCCACCTCTGTGCCCACGGGGCTGGCAGAGCTGGGCCCCTCTGGGGGACAAGGCTGAGGCTCCTCGTCCCTCACTGGGCACAAGGGTCTGTCCCAGATCTCTGAGCTGATGTTGTGTCCCCATCGGGACAGCTCCTGCCTGCTCACATCTTCCTCCCTTTGGGACAGCTTTCGCTCCCTCACATCGTCCCACCGGGGCAGCTCTTGGGCTGCAGCGTCTGCTCCTTGGCACAGCTCCCTGCCACTGCTGTCTCTCACTTGGGACAATTCCAGCTCTCTCCTGTCTTCCCATTGGGACATGTGGCAGTGCACACCTTGTCCCCATGCTGAGAGGTCTTGGTACCTCTCACCTTCCCTCTGGGAACGCTCTTGGGCATCATCCCATTGGGAATCCTCTGGGACACTCAGATCTCTCTGCAGGGACAGCCCTCGTGGCATCTCTCGTCTTCTCCCCATCCCATCTCCTGCCACCCACTCACATCTATTTCCCACTGGGAAATCTCTTGGGTTGTCACTCGTTCTTCCCTCTCCCGCCCCTCTTGGTACATCTCACTGTCCTCCTCCCACTGGGACAGCTCCTGAGCTCTGATGGTTTCTTCCCCTTCACAGAGCTCTTGGTGTGTCCCACCTCTGTACTGGGAAACCTCCCAAACTCTCACACGTACCTGGCCTTGGTACAGCTCTTGGCTGCTCCTCGTTCCCTGCCAGGACATTTCTTGGGCTCCTGGAACATCTCTCTGGTTGGTCTCTTCCACACCTTCCCTCCGGGAAAGCTTTTGGCCCATTTTGGCCAAGATCCTCTCCTCCTCACTCTGTGACAGCGACAGGACTGAGCTGCCCACTGCCCCTGACCACGGCTCGCTGGTGGCTTCCAGCCAGCTGGGCAAGGAGCTGTGGGACCGGGAGTTGGAGTTGGCTTTGTCCTTGTCGCTGTCGCTGTCTGTCGCTGTCGGCCGCTATCACTGTCAGCGTGTGGCACAGACAGAGCCAGGGAGCTGCTTCCTCCTCAGAGAGCGGCTCTCCTGGGAATGAGCACCCCAGGGCTCCGCGCCCCTTGGAGATCCTCAGCCCTGGCGGAGCTCCCTGATGTCACAAGGGTCTCTGGCAACCACCACGTCCCACATCACAAAGAGCCGTGACACCATGTGCGTGTCACAAAGGGCCACCCCGGAACCCCAACAGCAGCGGAGCAGACGTGAACCTGTTGCAGTTTGTGTTTATTTCATTACATTATTGTTAAGTGGTACATTCGGTTGTCTGCCCATGTTTTCCCCAAGTTCTTTTTTTTCCTCAACGCCCGGGCAGGGCACGGGCAGCTGAGTGGGGCAGGGGCATCAACATCTCTACTAACAGAAGATTCAATAAAAGAAAAAGCTGGGCTGTCAAAAATTTACAGTCTTGTCACTTGTTGCTCTTGTCTTTTACAACGTTTAAATTTGTTTCCTGTGATCTTCTTTATTTTGGGCGCACAGAAGCAAAGCTGAGCAGCATCAGGGAAAATCCAACAGCTGGGTCCACCAAGGCTTCAGAAGGGTGTGGAACTCCTGGAGGACTCGCACGTTTCAGCCGTGCACAAAAGCTCCTCTCCTTTCCGAGGCTGCACAGCAGCACACGGGGAGTAAAATCAGAGTTCCTCCTGATTTCCTACACTCGCCCTGCATCATTTATCCAGCACCTTCTCCGAGTGCGGGGAGTGAGCGGACACAGATCAAGTGTGGTTCTGGATAATCTGTTTTCTCTCCAATTTTTCCACTCCTGGCCCAGCTATGAAGTGCCGACCTGCAGGTGGGAGCACACCTGATGTCCCGCAGGCCTCTCCTGTGGGCTGGAGCCCCACGGGGCAGCTCCACCATGAACAATTCCTTTTCCCATTGCAGGAGTCTCCTTTGGTGGGGAAAAGAAAGAAAGGAGAATTGGCGTCTCCTCTCCTTGTCCATATCCTCAATAATTTCTGTCATTTCTCCAGTACAGATGGATCCAGGAGCGCTGCTTTCCCCAGACAGGCAGCAGCTCTCTGGACGCTGTTTGCCGCCCTTTGGGACAGTTCACTGCCATTGGAAGAGTCCTTTGTCCCCATCCGCTTCCCATGGGCACAGGGACTTGAACATTACAGCCTTCCCCAAAGACAGCTCTTTGTCATACCTGCCTTCTTCTTGGGAAAGCTTATTGTTGCTGCTGTTATCCTGTTGGGACAGCTCTTTGCCACTGTCACTCTCCCCTTGGGACAGCTCTTTCTTGTGGTAGTCTTGGCCCTGGGATGCCTCCCAGTCACTCTGCTTGGCTCCTGGGGACACCTTGGTGGCATTTCCCTTTGGGACAGCTCCAAGGCACTCTTGTTATCCCCTGGGGAGAGCTCAGTGTCGTCTGTCCTGGGCACACCTGTTTCTTTAGTTCATCTTCCCACTGTTTGTTCTCTTCCCACTGGGACATTCAAGACAGACACCTCCAGCAGGAAGGTGCACACAGCAGTGTTCTGGAGCAGGGATAAACCAAGGACAGCACAGGAACAACAACCACTTTGTGCTCTCCTGATTGCATGAAACATTTTCATGTTAGAAAAAAGAACAGGGGCAGCTCTATATGCCTAACTTTTGTCAGCCCCTGGGTTCTCACACAGGAAGGAAAACCATGAGCTGCTGAGCTGCAATGGGGTGAAGAGTTTTCATTTTGGAACAGGAACTGCAGGGTATCAGCACTCTCTTTGCAGCAGTTTGTTCAGCTTGGCAGAGGTGAGACACGTCCTCACTGCTCTCACAGCAACTACTTCAATCTCAGAGTGCAGCCTGAACTGGGAGAGGTTTGTCTTTTCTCCCACTCCCTGCTGCCTGGATGCAGAGCTCCCCAGCCCACCTGAGCCGTGGTGACCATGCACAGTCCCACCATGGCACATCTTCCTTCACCATGGCACTTGTCCTCACTGCCCACCATGGCACTGTCCCTCACTGCCCCATCACGGCACATCTCCCCTCACAGCCCCACCATGGCACTGTCCCTCACTGCCCACCGTGGCATCTCTCCCCTCACTATGGCACCTGTCCTCACTGCCCACCATGGCACATATCCCCTCAGAGCCCCACCATGGCACCTCTCCCCTCACAGCCCCACCATGGCACCTCTCCCCTCACAGCCCCACCATGGCACCTCTCCCCTCACAGCCCCACCATGGCACATCTCCCCTCAGAGCCCCACCATGGCACCTCTCCCCTCACAGCCCCACCATGGCACCTCTCACCTCACCATGGCACCTCTCCCCTCACAGCCCCACCATGGCACCTCTCCCCTCACAGCCCCACCATGGCACATCTCCCCTCAGAGCCCCACCATGGCACCTCTCCCCTCACAGCCCCACCATGGCACCTCTCACCTCACCATGGCACCTCTCCCCTCACAGCCCCACCATGGCACATTTCCCCTCACAGCCCCACCATGGCACATCTCCCCTCACCATGGCACCTCTCCCCTCACGGCCCCGCCATGGCACATTTCCCCTCACAGCCCCACCATGGCACATCTCCCCTCACCATGGCACATCTCCCCTCACCATGGCACCTCTCCCCTCACAGCCCCACCATGGCACATCTCCCCTCACTGCCTCACCATGGCACGTCTCCCTTCACCATGGCACCTCTCCCCTCACCATGGCACATCTCCCCTCACAGCCCCATCATGGCACCTCTCCTCTCACTGCCCCACCATGGCACCTCTCCCCTCACGGCCCCATCACGGCACATCTCCTCTCACTGCCCACCATGGCACCTCTACCCTCACCATGGCACATCTCCCCTCACAGCCCACCATGGCACATATCCCCTCAGAGCCCCATCATGGCACATCTCCCCTCACAGCCTCATCATGGCACATCTCCCCTCACAGCCCCACCATGGCACATCTCCCCTCACCATGGCACCTCTCTCCTCACAGCCCCATCACGGCACATCTCCCCTCACTGCCCACCATGGCACCTCTCCCCTCACAGCCCCATCACGGCACATCTCCCCTCACTGCCCACCATGGCACCTCTCCTCTCACAGCCCCATCACGGCACATCTCCCCTCACAGCCCCACCATGGCACCTCTCCCCTCACGGCTGCGGCGCCGCTCGGGCGCCCCCTGCCGGAGCGCGGAGACAAGCGGGACCCATATTCGCACCCCGCTGCCTCCCTTCCCCATTTCCCCGCTCTCCCTCTCCTGCCTCTCTCTCTCTCTCTCTGTCTCGCCCCCTTTGTTCCCCTCCCCGCCCGTTCCTTCCCCTCTCTCTCTCCCCGTCCTTGAGCGCGGGTCACGGCGGCGGCCCGTCCCCTCCCCTTCCTGCCGGCCCCTCCTCTTCCTGCGGGTCGGTACCGGCCGTTTCCCGCGGCCGCCCGGCGGTGCCAGGTGAGGCAGGGCGGGCCGGGCTCCAGGTACGGGACCCTGCGGAGCGGGGAGGGGGGAGCGGGGCCGGTCCGGGGGTCCCCATCCATCCCCCCCTTCCCAAATCCCAGCGGGGATCGCTCGGTTCCCACTGCCGGGAGCAGCCCTTCTTTCCCAGCCGGCCCCCTTGGGGGATGAGGGTTCAAAGCGCGGTTCTTTAAGACCAGGTTTATTGAAATCGGGGCTGCCGACTTACGAGAAAGTCACTCTCGGAGCAATAATTTAATTTTTAAAGTGTGTTTATTGATAATTCTCTTTTAAGTAGTTTTATGGGGTTTTATGGCCGTAGGAAAATCAGTTGTTATCTTTGGCTGCCACCCAGACGGAGTGAAATCACTGGATCATAAATAAAAGGTGTTAATGAGCTCCGTTATTACAAGCTGATGATTTAATGCCTTACATGGATCAAAGCCAGCTGAAAGCACGGAGGACTGATCCAGTCCTAAGTATTTGTCCTTTTCATTCTCTGGGTTAGGGCAGAAGGGCAGTTTGATTTGGGCAGAAGATGTAAATGCTGCTTATTCTTTGATTAACCTCGTGGAGTTGATTTGACCTAGTTTTTTGTTTGAAAATAGAGTGATCTTTCCCTCTCTGTGTCTTTAGCTCCACTGATCCAGCATTTCCCTAATGATTTCCATGAATGAAGAGGATTTGGCTGATGTGTAACTGGTGTATCCAATTAGTGTTATATACTTCTACTTTGATTTTTCATAAGGACTGACTCTGTCACCTGCTGTCACCTTTGCCCTGGCTGTGTCCCCAAATAACCCAGAACTGCTGGAATTGCTGACAGAGTGACTGACTGGTATCGATCTGTTCTAATTCCAGGTTTATGTCCCCGCCTGACACCAGCGAAGGAGGTTGGCCACTGCTGGGATAGAAAGGCTGACCTGGTGAATCTATAACATGAGTCCTGATCCATATGTCGCTGTGAAATACCAAAAATATGCTGTGATGACCTCCTTTGCCAACGTACCAGGTCATAGGTCTTGAGGCATTGATCCAGGGGAGTAGGACATTGAGCTGTTGCTAAATATAGGTACAGAGGAGAAGGAAGGGATTTATTTCATCAGTTATTGCTCAGCATCACGCTTATTTCCAGTTTACACTGGCATGAGTTTGCTGAAAGGCAATAAAGGCAATAATATAAATCTTAATAAAATAATAAATATTATTTATTTCATACTACAATAAAGTAATAAAAGAAAACTAAAATTTTAAAAATAATGGAAGAATAAAGGTGATAAAAGTGCTTCCAGGGAATTCTGCCTTGCAAAACAAACCTGTGTTCCTGTTGTGATTCCAGAAAAAAGTAAATTGTGAACTTCAGTAGTAATTAATTAGAAATGTAAATTAATGACTTTAAGCTTAAGGAAGGCAGGGTTAGATGGGATATTGGGAATTGGGAATTGTTCCATGGCAGGGTGGGCAGGCCCTGGCACAGGTGCCCAGAGCAGCTGTGGCTGCCCCTGGATCCCTGGCAGTGCCCAAGGCCAGGTTGGACACTGGGGCTGGAGCAGCCTGGGACAGTGGGAGGTGTCCCTGCCATGGCAGGGGTGGCACTGGATGGGGGTCTTTAAGGTCCCTCCCAACTCAAACCATTCTGGGATTCTGTGATTTCAATATTAGTCTGTAAAAGAAAAAAATACTGCTGAATTTTAGTAGGGATTTCTTTAATCTTATCAGGCTAAAGATAAGACCACTGCCATAGAAGTTCTCATAAAAAAAGGATATTTACCATGATTTTTGTCCAAATGTGTCTAGGTTCTTTGTAAGGTAGCTGCATCTGAAGAAATCCCCAGTGGCCTTGCGTCATGCTGAGTTACAACATGGGACATTGTTTCGTGGGACGGGGAGCCATGATTCCAAGGAAGCTGAAGCCATTTCTCTGCAGGATGTTGTCGGGTTACAAACCCAAAAACGATGTCCAGGACTCTTACAAAATTCTGGAGCTGGAGGAAGGATGTTCCCTCGATGACGTCAGAAACTCCTACTGCAATCTTGCCAAAAAATACCACCCGGACAGCAGCTCCGGCATGGCCGATTCCGGCACCTTCATAAGGGTGGAGGAGGCCTACAGGGTTGTGCTCAGCGACCTGGCAGGCAAACAGAAACCAGAGCCCGGCGAGGAGGAGGAAGACCAGTTCAAATCCAAGTCCCTGCAGCACAGACACTACCTGAGCTTCGAGGGCGTGGGCATCGGCACGCCGAGCCAGCGGGAGAAGCAGTACATGCAGTTCCGCGTGGACCGCGCCACCGAGCAGGTGCTGGAGTACCGGCAGCAGCGGCTGGAGAGCCGCTACGCCGGCAGCGACCTCAGCAGGGCCAAGGACGTGCGGCAGAGCAAGAAGGTGAAGATAACTCAGGCGGTGGAGCGGCTGGTGGAGGACCTCATCCAGGAATCCATGGCCAAAGGAGACTTCGACAACCTCAGCGGCAAAGGGAAGCCTTTGCAGAAGTTCTCGCACAGCCCCCACATCGACCCCATGACCCACAACCTGAACAGGATCCTCATCGACAACGGCTACCAGCCCGAGTGGATCCTGCTGCAGAAGGAGATCCGGGAGACCATCGAGCGGCTGAGGAAGAGCATCGTGGCCTCCAGGAGGAAGCTCGGGGAGCCGATGACGCTGTCGAAACAGAAGCAGTGGGGTCGGATTTGCGAGCAGTTCGCAGAAGACATCAGGAAATTAAACAAGAGAGTCGACAACTTCAACCTGGTGGTGCCCATCCTGAGCAGGCAGATGGTGCATTTCAGCACCGACAAGGAAATGCTCCGAGCACGAAAGGTTTACGAGGCTGTCGTGGAAAAGGTTTCTGATTCAGACAGGAAGGAAAGCAGTGGGGAAGAGGGCAAAAGATTTGGGTGGAAGTCTTCTCTCTTGAAATGGTTAAAACTTACACCGAAATAATTTCATACTAATTCCTCTTGTCAAGGTTTTGAATGCACTTTATTAATTAAATGTAGCGCTAGAGAAATTTCAGGGTCACTGAAAATGTCAAATCCACACTGTTAGCCTACTTGAAGGAAATTTGGCTGTGTGATAAGCATTTGCATTATAAATAATTATTTTTAAATATTATTAAATGGAATGTGCCAGTTTGGGTTGTGTTAGTTCATTTTTCTCATCATTAGTCTGGGGCTGTGTGTTGGGTTTGGGCTGGAGGCAGTGCTGACCATTCCAGAATGTTTTATTGCTGGGCAGGGTTTGCACAGCACCTTTTGTGCCCTTCACACCTCCCCACCCCTGAGCAGCTGCTGGCTGAGTTAAACCACAGCAGAAGCAAATAAATTCTTTTCTTGCAGGCCATTTTCCTTCTGCTGAAATCCAAATTAATGCTTCACTTCAGCACTGGCCCTAATCGCTTCTGCAGGCTCTTATCACTTCAGAGGGGAAACAGAGGCATAAGAATAACACATTAAAGTGGAGGCAAACGTCTTGCTGTGCCCTGTTTGGCCTTTGCACTCTTATTTCAATACTTAAAATGAATTTTTGGCAGGTTCACTGCATATTTTTTAAAAGTACATTCACCTCTTTAGGGTTAAATTCACTGGAAGGGAGTGTTCTGGATGTCTTTGCTTGGAACATACACATGCACAAGTCCATTTTTGCATCTTTAACACAGACAGAGGTCTTGGAAATTTATTTATTGATGAACACCCCCTGCCACGGGCAGGGACACCTTCCAGCTCTGTGCGTGAATGCTTATTTCCATCATTTATTCTTGTTTATAACAAAACTGTTAGTGAAAGATACTTTTCTGAAGGTCCTTTGACATAGTACTCTCAAAAACCCCACATTTTGATTCGCATGAGGATCTGCAGGAATTGGATCAGAATTGCTGACAATTCCAGCGGGAGATTTCAAGCGCAAATGGAATTGATGGCACAAGGGTAAATAGAAGCCAGATTGCAGGAAATGGAACCCACGAAGAAGCATCAGCGCCTTCAACACCAGAGGTGCCATAAGGGGTGAATCAGCAGACTGAGGGATTTTTAAATTCTTAATAAAACCATTTGGGTTTAAATAGGGCAGGCACAGCCCGACCAAGGCATTTTAAATCAGCCTTGCACTAATGTCATCAAAACCTGCCAGGCACAAAAACCCACTTCTGCAACATTTACAGTGGTGATGGAAAAAGTAATTTCCACCTTAATTTTCCCCAGGTATGTAGAGGAGTTCAGTGTTACAGGGCTTGTCTATGATTTTGTTGCCCTGAGCTCACAAAACCTTAAGAACAGTGCTTAGTCAATCCTAAGGAATATCAGCTACTGCACACAGGAAATCCAGGAGGGAATGGCCTTGAGAATGAATTTTTCTGGCTGACAGTGGACTGTTTATTTGAATTTGATAAATGTTATTTTATGACTGTGAAAAAGGGTGCAATCATTGCTGACCCCAGATCCAAAACCACGTTGTTATTCCCAGAACTTCCTATTTGTTGGTCTAATGACCACATGCCTTGTGGCTTGAAAGGCTTAGGTGATATCTTAATATGAAGACAAAAGATTGTATACATATATAATTCTATATATTATGAAAATACAATATTCGAGGTATCAGTTTTTCTCAGGGTGAGGAATCTGTTTCTTGCACAACAGGACAAGTGGTCCTCCTGTTTCCTTTTGTCCTTTTTCTCATGTTCTTTTCTTCTGGTGCTTCTAAACAGAGGTTTTCCAGGAATACTCTGATTGCTGAAATCCTGTTAAGACTGTAATCCCCTAGAATATCCTCTTCTGGCAGTTTCAAGGCACATCTTCTAGACAGAATAACCATCTTTTGAGACAGGAATTCATCCTGTGTATATTGCTCTTTCCCACCACTTGGTTCCATATAAAAGGATACTGTATTATCCATTTAAAAGGATACTGTGTCCAGAGCACAAATTTATTCCAAATCATATATTATGGTGATAAATCTTTATTCTTAGTGGGAGAAGGTGTCCTCTGAGGGAGCAGGGAGTGTGGTGTCTCTGGGCCTGATGGAACACAGCATGCATGTGTAAATTAAGGTTAAAAAGGAAGGAGAGAGGACTTTGAGTACAATCGGATTCTTTCAATTCCACATCTGTGAGATGTGCACTCTAATCCTCAAAATGCTGACTTTGATCCAGTTCTTTTCTTTGCCCAGGGCTTTTATTCAACATCTGTCTTTTGTCACTTACTTGTTTTGCTGTTTTAGATGGAATATGTTCCACAATGTGTTTGTTGCCCCCATATTGCTTATCTGGTTTTGTTTTTCCTTCCAACCAAGACCATTCTGTGATTGATCCTATGAATTAGAAATTATCCATGTTTATTAATTCCTCTTAGTTTCAATAAACCAGACACCAGACTGAGGTTTGAGAGCATTTAGGGGTGAACTTTATCTATTCCAACATGGGAATGACAACATTGTGCTGTTCCCGTGGGGCAGCTGTGAAAAACACAGGCACTTGTTTTTAGAACTGTTAAAAGTTTAATAATAAAAAATGGTTATAAGAATAGTAATACAATTAGAGTAATACATATTTAGAGTTAGGACAATTGAAAGACAATAAAAAGCAAAGAATTATGGATGTCTAGATGTTTTTGGACACTAAGCTGCCAAAAACATACCTTGTGAACAAAGGAATAACCCCTAAAAGCAACAGACTTTTGCATATTCATATATCTCATACATGATGCATAAATTCCTTGCAAATTAAGAACTTTTCTGGTTTTTGTCAACTTCTTCCCCTTAATCCTGGTGGTTCCATAAAGACAGAGAGAAGGTGGAAGAATGTTTGTCTTTTCTGATAAGGAGGGGGTAACTCTTTTGTGCCCTGTCACTGTTATCTCTGTGTGAAGAGTTTCTTGATTAGCCCATCTCTTTCTTGAGCTAGTTAAAAACTATCTTACATCGCAGGGTTTCTATTTTAACATTGTGTTACAGCCTAAAAATATATTTAACACACTACTTAATCAAATTAATACAGCATAACTTTGTAACATTACACCGTGAAAAACGCATATTTTATGCTTGGCTTTTGGTAAATGTTACAATGAATATTATATGTGTAACGTTAGGAAGTTACGCTGTGCCCCGGGCCGTGAGGGGGCGGCCATGGCGGGCGGGGCTGTCCGTGAGGGAGGGGGCGGGGCCAGCGGGAAAAGGCGGGAGAGCGCCGGCCGCGCCTCTTCCCGCCCCGCCCGCGCCGAGAGGGGCGGTGCTTGCGGCATTGACCAATCACAGCGCTCCGTTCTCACCCGGCCCCTGGCTGACGCGCAGCGCTCGGTTGTGATTGGCCAGAGGGCGCGTCAGTCAAGGGGCTCGGTGCCCTCAGGCGGAAGCGGCTCGCTCGGAGCGGGTACGTGCGGCCGGGCCGGGCGGGACGGGACCGGGACCGGGACCGGGACCGGGACACAGACACAGACACAGACACAGACACAGACACAGACACAGACACAGACACAGAGCGGGATGGGGGCACACAGAGACAGCGGGACCCGGGCCGCTCCCCTGGGACAACGGCACGTCCCGCTGTGGCACGGCTCGTCCGGCCCTGAGGACGCACTGAGGGGAGCAGGGGAAGTTAAAGGAGAAAATGTCTCGTTTTGTCTAAATAACGAATGTTTGGTCGGGCCGTCGGAGCTGCTGGCGGGGCTCGTCCTGCCCCGTCACGGCCCGGTCCCATGGCAGGCACAGCGATGCGCTCGGAGCTGAGTCAAAATCGGCCTCTGGAGAATTGCGAAATCGAGATTTTTTTTTTTTTTTTTTCCTCCTCAAGTCTTCCAACTTTAATAACGCTCTTAACCCCCGCTGCGGGCAGTTCTGGGGCTGAGCAGCACATTGCTGTGAAGGGATAAATCGTGGATTGGCTTGGCTTGGGGGAACTTAAATCCCACCCATTCCCACCCCTGCCAGGGCAGGGACACTTCCCATTGTCCCAGGCTGCTCCTCAGTGTCCAGCCTGGCCTTGGGCACTGCCAGGGATGGGGCCTTGGAAGGAATCTAAATATAATTAATATCACTTTTTAATAATTCTGCCGCACAGCCTTGCTTTTGTATAAATTCATTTAAAACTTCCTTTCTTTGCTCTTGTCTTTCTGTAGTACTTAAAGATTAGACAGCAGAGCCCAGTGCTGTGGAACAGGGAGAACTGAAAGTGAAACTCCAGGAAATCACTGAAAGAAGTGGGAAAATGACAGTGGGGTGTAGCAGAAATGTTCACATAAACCCCTGATATACTTTTCATCCTCTGTGCATGTGGGGAAATGTGTGACCTGAAGGATTTTCTGATGAGTTGCTTGTGGAAGGTACATCTTCAAGGAAAACTTGAATATTCTTCATGCCTTTAGGTTTCTTCCCTTTCTCCTTCTGTCTTTTCCTCTCTTTGGAAACAGGGGTTCTGTTCTTTACTAACCCCACGTTAAGGCATTTTTCTTCCTGCAAACTGTATTTCCTTGCAAATGCTTTCAGTGAAATCGGCTCATCTGGGGAGGGATGAGCTGAGTTTAATGTGCAGATGTGGAGCTGCCGTTGTGTTTTCTGTCTGCATAACAGCCCGGTGGGTTTGCTCTCAGTGCTGGCATCTGCCAGGGGTGGTTTTTACAGCTCCACTTGTGCTCACCTCGCTCAGAGTCTCCAGTTTGTTCCTGCAGATTTTTGTGTGCTGGACAGGGTGAGGAATGTTCCTGCCTGCCCTTGGGAGAGGGGAGGAGGCTGAGGGAGGGAAGGGCACTGAAGGACAGGAATGCCAAGGGCTTTACCTGCTTCCTCCCTGGGAAGTGTGTGGGTGGAAGAGTTTAAACCAGAGAGCAAGTGCTGGATTATCCAGGAATTCCAGCTGAAGGCATCTGCCTCCGCCAGAGGGCTGTGTGCAGGGAGGTCCCTGGGCTGGCAGCTGTCCCTGTGTCCCTGCTAATCCTCCAGGGGACAAACCTCAGCCTGCCTCTTGTGCTGTCCGTGGAGCCTCGGCTTCACCATGGAGCTGGGATTTTAAATGCAGTTTATTGTTTCCTTCCTCCTTTTCTAAGGAATCATGGAGAATTATGGGTCATGGAATGTTTGGGTAGGGAGGGAACCTAAATCCCACCCAGTGCCACCCCTGCCATGGCAGGGACACCTCCCACTGCCCCAGGCTGCTCCAGCCCCAGTGTCCAGCCTGGCCTTGGGCACTGCCAGGGATCCAGGGGATCTGGGAATTCCATCCCAGCCCTGCCCACCCTGCCAGGGAACAATTCCCAATTCCCAATCTCCCACCCAGCCCTGCCCTCTGGCACTGGGAGCCATTCCCTGTGTGCTGTCCCTCCATGCCCTGGAAATTGTCTCTCTCCAGCTTTCCTGGGGCTCCTCCAGGCCCTGCAAGGCCACCCTGAGCTCAGCCCAAAGCTTCTCCTGTGCAGGGGAACAATCCCAGCTGTGCCAGCCTTTCCTCCCAGCAGAGCTGCTCCATCCCTCTGCTCATCCTGGAGCCTCCTCTGGGCTCTCTGCAGCAGCTCCAGCTCCTCCTGGGCTGGGGCAGGGCTGGGGCAGCTCTGCAGGTGGGCTCTCACCTGAGGGGCACAATCAAAATCCCAATCCCTTTCCTATTTCTTGTCCCCCAGCCCAGGACACCTCTGCCTCTCTGACTTGCTTCATGGCCCTTTTTCCCACAGGGATGTTCCCTTGAGGTCCCTTGGGAGGATCTCTCCCCTCCCCTGTATCAGTACATTCCTTTTCTCTGCCATATTAAATCCAGGATATTTTAGCTGGATTTCTTGAACACTTTTTGAGGAGTTCCACACCCCTTTTGGGTTGTTCCTGTCCCAGAGCAGCTGAGGCTGTCCCTAGATCCCTGGCAGTGCCCAAGGCCAGGCTGGACACTGGGGCTGGAGCAGCCTGGGACAGTGGGAGGTGTCCCTGCCATGGCAGGGGTGGCACTGGGTGGGATTTGGGGTCCCTCAAACCCAAAGCATTCCATAATTCCCTGTTTCCCTGCAGCCACTCCCAGGCAGGGCCCCTCAGCTCCACAGTGGGGACAGCAGCAGGAACCGTGAGAGTTCCAGTGTGGGTGGGTGAGGAACTGGGAGGGGAAAGCAGGAATTGCTGCAGGAGAGGGACAGACACAGCTCTGAAGAGGAACTAAGAAAGGGGAGCCATTTAAGGGGGGAAAATGAGGAAGGGCTTCAGGAGCAGTTGTAAATCAGCTGAGGGAGCTGGGAAGGGGCTGGAGAATTCCTGAGGGAGCTGGGAAGGGGCTGGAGAATTCCTGAGGGAGCTGGGAAGGGGCTGGAGAGTTCCTGAGGGAGCTGGGAAGGGGCTGAGCCTGGAGAAAAGGAGGCTCAGGGGGGACCTTGTGGCTCTGCACAGCTCCTGCCAGGAGGGGACAGCCGGGGGGTCGGGCTCTGCTCCAGGGAACAGGGACAGGAGCAGAGGGAACGGCCTCAGGCTGGGCCAGGGCAGGCTCAGCTGGGACAGCAGCAGCAATTTCCCCATGGAAAGGGGGCTCAGGCCCTGGCAGGGGCTGCCCAGGGAGGTTTGGAGTCACTGTGGCACTGTTCAGGAGGAGTCTGGATGTGGCCCTTGGGGACAGGGTTTAGGGCTGGTGCTGGCTGGGACTGGATGATCTCAAAGGTCTTTCCCCACCCTGATGATCCTGGAATTCTGTAGAAGCACAGCAATTCCCTGTGAAAGCTGTGGAATGAGCAGGGATTTGACCATTTCCAGGGAAAGGTGAGAGGAGAATTATTGAGGAGAACAACCAGATGGCTGAGCCCAGATGCTGCACAAATTAAAATAACTTTGGAATTTGAAGAACTATCACAAGGGTGGGTTTCTGGAGGACAAACTTTTGGATTCTGTTCCAGGAGGTAACCTGTGTTTCTAGCATAGACAAACTGTTTATTGATTGATTTTTATTCCACTTCTTCTCACTGCTGTTATTAAGCAGAAAATGTTCTCCATCAGTCTGTGCTGTCACACAGTCATGAAGGACATTTTTGTTAGTCTTTATCAAATGGCTGGAAATGAATTATGTATGACAGGTTGGGAAATGCAGAAGTTGACAGTACTAAACCAAATTAGAATGGTGCTAAGAGCAGTTGTGAGTCAGTTAATTAACTTTGTTTTCCTCTTCCCATAATTAAGGTTATCTGAGATCTTTTCTCTGTGCAGTGAGACCTTCTTTACCCTCAGAATCAAGGGGTTTTTTTTCTGAGTTGGGCTCTTTTTCTCTGTGTTAAAAAGGCACTAAATCATACTATCTGTTAGATTGGAGTCTGGAAACATTAGTGTTTAATTGAGACTCCTTGACGTGACTTAAGGACCAAGTTCTGCCATAAGCTTTTGGGTTGTGTGGTGATTTTCTTTTGTAGTTCTGTGTAAGGGAGGTTGTTTTGTGAATATAGCCAAATACAGCATCAACAGAGTTTATCATGGAATGGTTTGGGTTGGGAGGGCTTGAAAACAATCTCGTTCCCTCTCCTGCCATGGGGGGGCAAATTCCTCTGGAAGGTTCTATAGAAAAACCTGAATTCTGGAAAAAACCCCAGACTGTAACTCACACCTCGAGGTGTTGCTGATTGATTCTGAGAGTCTGCTGGAGCAGACCTGGACAGAGTCAAAACAAAAAAGCAGGGATTTATTAAAAGGCCTTCACAGATTCACCTTGGGCAGCACAAGAGCCTGGCTGTGGCTACACCCAAGGTGGACTCAGAGTCACAAGTTCTCACACTTTTATAGGTTTTGGTCCATTTCCATATTGGGGTTAATTACAATTACAGCTCCAGGTTATGAGGTCCCATCCACCCAGGTTGCTCCCCCCAATTCTCTGCTGTTTGCACTTTTTGGGGCTGAAGCTGCAGCCCCAAGCAAAACCGGATCTCCTAGAACCATAATAAGCTTTTTATACCCTTTTTAGTTTCTCCAGTAAATATATCCTGTTGTTATTTTCATTCTAATCTTATGTTTTATTATTCCATGGAGTTAATTAAGAGCATTTTTCTGTTAGGATTGATCTCTGTTAGGGTTGATTGTTCTTAAGTTTATTCAGGGTCAGGTCTAATTCTTACTCATTTTAAGATGTCGTGTTTTATTCCATTTTTATTAATTTTTATTCAGTGTCAGTAATGTCATCTTTAAGTTTTCCTAAGAACATTTTGGTAATATATATATATAGTATACACTATATGTGTACATGTACTTTAACAAGTATATCCTTGGTGTTTAAATTGCTTATCCAAGTTGGGAGATTATTTTGCTTTAGGGACAAGATGAATTTAACCAAGGCACCAGTGGCACAGGAGAATGCAGTGTGTTAAACCTTTGCACCTTTATTGTAAATTCTGCTGCAGACAGCCCAGAGGAGTGAGAAATGCCCTGGTGCCCTTGGTTCTGGGGCTGGAAAAGGATTGTTCTGTGTGCCTGAGCTGCCAGGGGAGCTTGGTGCCACTTTGTGTGGAGTTCAGAGCTCCACACTAATGCAGTGTTTTACTGCAGTGTGTGACTGTGTGATGCACTGCAGCATCTGGGAAATAATCTGTGTGTCTGTGTAATGCACTGCAGCATCTGGGAAATAATCTGTGTGATTGTGTAATCCATTACATCTGGGAAATAACCTGTGTGACTGTGTGATGCACTGCAGAATCTGGGAAATAACCTGTATGACTGTGTAGTGCACTGCAGAATCTGGGAAATGTGGAAGCTCAGACTGAATCCATCCTGACCTCACCCTTGGCTGTGTTTCAGGCACTCAGGAGCGGCTGTTGATGGAAGAGTCCAGGAGGGAGTGCTGGGCCAGCGGGGCAGCGTGAGCTGTGGCCATGGCAGGGTTCCTGGACAATTTCCGCTGGCCAGAGTGCGAGTGCATCGACTGGAGCGAGCGCCGCAACGCCGTCGCCTCCACCGTGGCCGGGGTGCTGGTGAGCCACAAACAGTCACACTTGTGCCTCGGGTTCTCCCTTTTAACTTCCCCAAAGACAGCCTGTTCCTTCCAGGGCTCGCTGTGGGGTTGTCAGCAGCGTTTTCACAAGTCCTGTGACGTTGCTGATCATGAGCCCTTTCTGCTCTCTCTTCTTGAAAAGAAATTCCTTGTGGATTTCCTGCAGAATTGGGTCTGTTAGAATGGCTCTGTTCTGCACAGTCTCCATCTCATGTGTGTTTAGAGTCTGGATTCTTGTTCTTAAGGGGAAGAAGGAACAGGGAATTTCACAGAAATTGCACAGGGAATTTCACAGAATCCCAGAAGGGTTTGGGTTGGGAGGGACCTCACAGCCCATCCACGGGCAGGGACACCTTCCACTGTCCCAGGCTGCTCCAAGCCCCAAAGTCCAACCTGGCCTTGGACACTGCCACAGCTGCTTTGGGCATAAATTTATCCATACCCCACTCCTTAATTTGGGCAGAAAGTGTGGCTGATTCCCAAGCACTCCTCTGAACACAGGAACGCTGGGATTTGTGCAGGCATTGCCCATCGAACACATTTAAATCATTATCCAGAAGAACTGGTGCTTGTTGGAGGCCAGTTAAGGCAGTGCTGTCCAGACCACTGGCCTGGTTGTCCTGGCTGTGCCGTGCCCCCCAGGCTCACCCCCTGTGTCTGTGGCCAGTTTTTCACAGGCTGGTGGATCATGATCGATGCTGCCGTGGTTTATCCCAAGCCGGAGCAGCTGAACCACGCCTTCCACACCTGTGGGGTCTTCTCCACGCTGGCCTTCTTCATGTGAGTGCTGGGCACAGGGACTCACCACATAACCACCAGGAGCTCAACCAGGCTTAGGGACAGTGTGTCCAGTATGGATAAATCACAGAATCACACAAGGTTTGGGTTGGAGGGACCCCAAATCCCACCCATTCCCACCCCTGCCATGGCAGGGACACCTCCCACTGTCCCAGGCTGCTCCAGCCCCAGTGTCCAGCCCGGCCTTGGGCACTGCAGGGATGGAGAAATCAATACTCACCTCAATATGAAACAATTGGCTGCATTTCCCTCAGCTTTTACAAATTTTACAGCTGTTCCTTGCCCAAAACTTCCTCAAATTGGAGGGGTAACAGTAGCCTGGCTCTTGTCTTGGAGATGCAAATAAAAGTAACAACTTTTATTGAATCATTCAATATTGGCAAGAAAAAAGGATGACTTGGGATCTGGGACTACAACAGAGTGCCAGGGAATTTTCCCAGAATTTGTCACATCATAAAAATAAAACTTAAAAAAAAAAAAAAAACACAACCCCCCCCCCCCAAAAAAAAAAAGAAAAACAAAAACAAACCTGAAAACCAAAAGAAACTGGGGTTTTACTTAAAACTCTGAATCGATTTTCTGCAATCTGAAGTATATCTCTGTTTTTTGCCCCCCAGGATAAATGCTGTGTCAAATGCACAGGTGAGAGGAGACAGCTACAGTGATGGATGCTTAGGAAGAACAGGTAAATTAACTCTACAAAGCCTCAGGTGAAGGACTGATCATTTACCTGCTGGGGTTTTTTCCAAGAGATGGTGAAAGAAATAATCACAATAAGGAGTAGGAGAGAACTTCTGAGAATTAATTTCTTTACAGAATTAACCCTTGGAGATAAGTGCTGGCTTTGTTAGAAAGGGAACTTGGTGAAATTCAGTTTCTGGATGTCTTGGCTTCCTAAACTTTCCCTGCAAATCCTGGAAAGCTGCTGGGAGAAATGAGTTCCTGCCTGGGGGTGGCTCTGGAGCAGGCATTCCCTAGGGATGTGTCACAAACATTTCCATTTCCCCTGTGTCACTGCTGTGGGTGTTCCTGGACCTGCTGTCCCCTCTGCTTCCATTCATCATTCCCTTTCTATTTCCCACATGGATCCCAGCAGCCTTTTCAATGGGATTTGTAAATTTGGAGGGATTTGCTGCTATTTGAAGTGGCCTGTGGTGCTTTTTAGTGTGTCATTCATGTCCCAGCTCCAGAGAACTTTAGCACAGAAGTATATTTCTTTCCCAGTGACTGAGCAGGTGGATTTTGTCCTTGATCCTTGGGTTTAACCCTTTCCATTTGTGCATTCAGTGAGATCATGTGTTCCATCCTCCCAGAGGAGCAGCTGCATTGCCTGCCTCTGTGGATAAAAATCCACATTTCACTCTCCCTGCAGGGGCTCGGATCTGGCTCTTCATCGGCTTCATGTTGATGTTTGGATCACTCATTGCTTCCATGTGGATTCTCTTTGGAGCATATGTTACACAGAGTAAGTTTGGGTATTTGCTCCTCTAGGAAAGTGCTTTTCTTGCCAGTTTTTGGCAGGGAATTCACAGGGATGGAAGCCTGTGGTCTCTGGAAAATCCGAGCCACAGCATCCAGGTTTTATTCTGAGATTGACACTGGAATATCCTGTTAAACCCAGCTCCCAGTAACTGAAATGTCCTGTTAAACCCAGCTCCCAGTAACTGAAATGTCCTGTTAAACCCAGCTCCCAATAAGTGGAATATCCTGTTAAACCCAGCTCCCAGTAACTGGAATACCCTGTTAAACCCAGCTCCCAGTAACTGGAATATCCTGTTAAACCCAGCTCCCAGTAAGTGGAATATCCTGTTAAACCCAGCTCCCAGTAACTGGAATTCCTGTTAAACCCAGCTCCCAGTAACTGGAATATCCTGTTAAACCCAGCTCCCAGTAACTGGAATATCCTGTTAAACCCAGCTCCCAGTAACTGGAATTCCTGTTAAACCCAGCTCCCAGTAACTGGAATATCCTGTTAAACCCAGCTCCCAGTAAGTGGAATATCCTGTTAAACCCAGCTCCCAATAAGTGGAATATCCTGTTAAACCCAGCTCCCAGTAAGTGGAATATCCTGTTAAACCCAGCTCCCAGTAAGTGGAATACCCTGTTAAACCCAGCTCCCAGTAACTGGAATATCCTGTTAAACCCAGCTCCCAGTAACTGGAATATCCTGTTAAATCCACCTGCCAGAACTAAAGAACTGAGTGTTTCCTCTGTTCCTCTGCAGACACTAATGTGTACCCTGGATTAGCAGTGTTTTTCCAGAATGCATTAATATTTTTCAGGTAAGTTACCTGGGCAAATTCCCCCCTTTCCAAAGGGACTTTCCTGCTTCCATACACTGATACTCCTGGAAAAGCAGCTCTGTTTTCTGCTCCCATTGCTGCAGAGCTGAGAGACGAGGTTGATTTGCCCCTGCCCAGGCTCTTTGCTCCCTCCCACTCCAGCAGTTGGTCCAGCTGTCTCTGCTCCCTCTGGATGTGCAGCTCTGGAATGTGGGTGGCCAGGGATGCACAGAGTTTTCTGGATGAGGGATTGCCAGTGTCTTTGGACAATGGCAATCATTCACCTCTGTCCTGCAATCCCTTGGCTCCCCTCCCAGCAGAGCCAGCTGGGGGATTCCATTCCCCTTTTCCAGAGTATTTCACAGCAATGGCTCAGGTCTCTGGTACTTGATATTCCCTCATTTCCTTTCACTGGCTGAGCTTGCAGTTATACAGAGTGAGAATTCCTTTTTGCAGGAGCAGGCTGGTGTGTTTTGTAACAGCACACTGGATTTATTTCAAATAATATTATTAAATCTATCATGTAACAGTTGAAAATTGATTTGGAGTCTCTAATAACTCCTCTTAGCTGTGGAATGCATTTCGCAATCCACAGATTTTATTGATAAAAGGCACTGAAAGTGTTAAACGGTGTCAGTTCCAAGATCAGTCACTGAAAGTTCATCTCACCTCCTTTCTTCTTCCAATTCCTGGCTGATCCTTTTCCTTCCAGCCCCCCACAAGATGCTCTGCAGTGACCTGGATGGATGGGTTCTGGAAAATGAGGGATATTCCTGCAGGAAACAGCAGCTCCTAAATCCCCTCTGGGATTGAAAAGGGAACTGCTGGAGGCAGATTTTGTGCCTGAAGTTTTTAGTCTTTTTTAGAATCCCAGAAGGTTTGGGTTTGAAGGGACCTTAAATCCCATCCAGTCCCACCTGGGCAGGGACACCTTCCCCTATCCCAGGTGGCTCCAAACCCTGTCCAGCCTGCCCTGGGACACTGCCAGGCATGGGGCAGCCACAACATGTGGCATTTTGGAAATCAAATTGTGATATGGATCTGATTCTCTACCACAGGCTTAATACTCTTTCTGATCAGTTCATAAAAATTGGAATTGTTTAGGTTTTATCCCAGCACATCCTGTCACGTTGAGCTGATTCCCAGGTGCCAGAGAGACACTTGCTACTCTGGACTCCTTGAATTTCATAACTCCCAGGCTTTTCCTTCAGAAGGGCTGTGAAAGTGGGTGTTTGTCTGTTTGAGCTTCAGCTGGCTCCCACAGTTCCTGCCATGCACAGGAAACTAATTATAAACACCAAATCCTGATCTGACTAAAAGTTCAGGGCTGGGCTGTTGATTTGCACAGGGTAAGATTTAAGGATACTGTTAAAATTACCCTATGTGTGGTCTGATTTTTATTTCTTTTTTTTCCCCCCAGCACCCTGATCTACAAGTTTGGGAGAACAGAAGAGCTGTGGGGCTGAGCTGTGGGGCTGAGCTCCCTGCCGGCTCAGTCCATAGTTGCCATGTGGTTCTTGTCTGTAGATAATTCCCAGTCCTTTGTCCTTGGTTTGCTGCCCAAACTGCTGGAAGTGAGACAATTGCAGGCTCTGTGAAGCTCCCCTGGCCATTCACACTTGTGAATATGTACATAGGACAGCACCTAGCATTTCAAAGGGCATGGCAGCTGCCAGGCTTCCCTGCTCCAGGCTTTCTCCTTCATCCATGCCTTTCCATCAGCTTCCTCTTCCAGAGCTCACCGTGCCCGGGGCTTCAGTGAGCAGTTAGTGAGCAAACAGGACAGAGCCCATCCCAGAGCGGGGGCCCAGCTGGGATAAGAGCTGATTTTAAACATTTTCTATTATTGTTCAGGTAAATACAAAGTAGATTTTTTTTTTGGTCTTCTTTTGGTAAAAGGTTATGGGTTTTTAAGCAAGTCCCTACACTCAGCAGGTTGTGCATGGCAAAGCAAAGTATTCCTGACTCGTGATGGCTCTGGCACAAAGGACATTTTGCTGGCACCACAGTCCTTGGAATTAATTTCATGCTGCTCAGTGTAAGAGATACCAGTTGGTATTTAATGTATTTCCTGATATTAGAATAAAAAAACTCCAACAAACTGATGCCAGTTGTACTTGATATAAAGAATAAATGAGTCAGAGCAATGTAGCAATCTTGCTACTTGGGCAAGTCTCACTGTCTCCAGGGGAAGCTGTTTGCTGATAAATGAGTTTTCCTGACCTGTTCCCTCTCTGCTTAAAAGCATGTGGGGTATGGATGGATTTATTGCTCAGTCCAACCTTGCAATCATTTCAAATTTCAATAAATTCTAGGTGTGACGCACACCCAGTTTTAGGGCTGCTATTGCCCCAGCTAAAATGTATTTATCTCTTACATTTTATGGCTGATTCCATTAATGAATGATTGAAATCCAGTTTCATCTCAGTGGAGTGAAACAGAAAGTGAGGCTGAGGATGTTGGAGTCCCTGGAGTGTCCCTGTAGATCCATTTGCTGGGGTGAGTCCTTCTCACGAGTTCTCTGTGGTTTTTACAGCATTGCTCTCCCCTGGCTCCCAAGGCTTTTACAGCTTCCCCACATCCAAGCTGCTGCCTCGGTGGTGGCAGGAGCTGAGTGGAAACGCTGTGCTGGGAACTGGGAACTGTTTGGCACCTGCTGTGGGTGGGAACTGCTGCAGGGGCAGGAGCTGGGGCCAGTTTGGAGCTGCCCCTGTGCCCTGGCTGCTGTAAGGCCATCCCACTGCTTGGGATTCCAGAGAGCTGCAGGAAAAGTGAGCTCAGGTGCTCCAAACGGTGACTTCTGGACAGCAACTCACCTTTGCACACACCTGCCCCACACATAAAGCCAGGCTTTGGGCCAGGCCTGTCAGGTTTGTTGGCCAGGAGCTCAGAAATGTTTGTTGGGCTCTTTAGGAATTCGGGAATGAGCGTGGCCTGGAACTAATCCCAGTGCCAGGAGCTTGAGCCTGGACTTGCAGCTGGAACGTGGAAGCCAGGCTGGGAGAGCTGGGGAGAAGAGAAGCTCCAGGGAGAGCTCAGAGCCCTGCCAGGGCCTGGAGGGGCTCCAGGAGAGCTGCAGAGGGACTGGGGACAAGGATGGAGGGACAGGACACAGGGAATGGCTCCCACTGCCACAGGGCACTTCTACACCTCACAAACCAAGGGGACAGGGAGGGCTCAGTGACAATAGCCCTGCTTTTTAATTGTTTGTATAAAAATATTTAACACCACACTCCCTAACACAAGTCCATTGCACGGTTTATTCAGGAAGACACAGATATTCCCAGGGGGTTTTAACCTTATTTCTGTCCTCTGGCTGAGTTTGGTGTTCCTTTTTGTGAGCTGTGGGTGATTAAAGCAGACCTGGTGCTGACCTGGCAATTCCTACATGAGTCAGGCTTCCCTGGACCCCCCTTGTCAGCAGCCTAACCCCAAGGGATTAGGTCTGATCTGCAAGGAAACATCTGCTGAAGCTTTTGGCAGCTGCTGGCCTGGGCTGTTCCTGGAAGGGCTGGGGCAGTGGCACCCCAGCTCTGCCAGGGCCCTCCAACCAGGCACTTCCAAAAAACCCCACATTTTTAATTGTTTTTGTTTTTTTTTTTAACTATTTGTATCAAACCCAAGGGGAAAAAAAACCAAATAACCCCATTTTTCTTAGTACAGAAGAGGTTAACTTGTTCTTTGTGCTTTATTGGACTACAGACCCCACAGGGGGTGATGTGGGGTTTAACCTGGGCTCTTGTGCTTTAAGGCACTAAAACCAGAGCTCTCAGTCACCTTCTCTTCTGCTGGTGCTCAGCAAGAGGTTTTAGTGTCTGACAGCGACTGAGACTGGAAAAACCCGGAGCAAAATTCCTTTCAGGTGCTTTGTGGTGTGCAGGGCCCTGGCCTGCCTGCAGCAGCAGATTAATGCTCCCACGAGGGTGGCAGGAGGCAGATAAGAGCAGAACTCTCTGGGAGGGGCTCTTGGCACACGTTCATCCCGAGGAAAGTACCCACACATTTGTTTTCAGTTTGTCCCGCACTTAAAATGAATCAGGAAAGCAGACTGGGGTGGGTATAATGGGAGTATTATTGCCAACAGAAACAGAACCAGTATAAACGGAATTGCAGCTCTTCACTCCCTGAAAGATCCCACGTTATCCCACATCAATAAAGTGCAGTTATTCCTCCAAGCTGGGGTGGGGATTCACCCCTTGTATTCACCTGTCTGCAGGCAATTTAGTGTTCCTTTCCTTCCCCTTCCACCTTCCTTTTCTCTCCTTTTGGCAGAGAGAGGAGCTGGGCAGAGGCCCCTGGAGCACCGGGGTCTGTGCTTAGGATGGTCCTGTGACCCCAGGGAATGTCCTGTGACCCCAGGGAATGTCCTGTGACCCCAGGGAATGTCCTGTGATCCCAGGGAATGTCCTGTGACCCCAGGGAATGTCCTCTCATCCCAGAGTCCATGTTGAGGATGGTCCTGTGACCCCAGGGTCTGTGTTTATGATTGTCCTGTGATCCCAGGAAATGTCCTGTGATCCCAAAGTCTGTGCTCAGGATGGTCCTGTGACCCCAGGGTCTATGTTTAGGATTCTCCTGTGATCCTAGGGATGGTTCTGTGACCCCAGGGAATGTTCTCTGATCCCAGGGACCATGTTCAGGACTCTCCTGTGACCCCAGGGATCATGTTTAGGATTCTCCTGTGACCCCAGGGACCATGTTCAGGACTCTCCTGTGACCCCAGGGACCATGTTCAGGACACTCCTGTGACCCCAGGGACCATGTTCAGGATTCTCCTGTGACCCCAGGGACCATGTTCAGGACTCTCCTGTGACCCCAGAGTCCATGATCAGGACTCTCCTGCCAGCAGCCTCACCATGGCAGCAGCTCTGGCCAGTGCTGGGGCAGGTGACACTCACTGGGGTGGCCCTTCAGAGGCTGCCCTGGCCCTGGAGGTGTTGGGTGAAGGATCCTCACCCTCCTGGCCACCTCCTCCAAGCACAAGAGCCTGGGGCTCCTCCTCAGCAGGACTGTACAGCTCCTCCAAGCCAGCCACGTCGGGGTCCCTCAGGAACTGGAAAAAAACCACAAACCACCAGGTTAGGTCCTGTTAGAGACCCCAAAGCCAACAAATTGCTCCAGCCCAGGAGCTGCTACCTGGACATCCCATCCTGGGCTTCCTTGAAACTACACTAAACAAGGAGAATGTTAAAAACCTTATTTCTGTGAGGAAAAAAAATAAATTATCCCTCCAATATCCCTTCAAGTGAGTTAAAGCAGCTGCAGTTCCTCTGTTTGGGGTTGGGCTGTTTGGTTTGGGTTTTTTTTTTTCAGGAGTGTCCTGAAACCCACAAGTGTGTCCCACAGACCCACAGGAGCGTCCTGAAACCCACAGGATTGTCCCACAGACCCACAGGAGTGTCCTGAAACCCACAGGAGTGTCCCACAGACCCACAGGAGTGTCCTGAAACCCACAGGAGTGTCCCACAGACCCACAGGAGTGCCCCACACACCCATAGGAGTGCCCCACAGACCCACAGGAGTGTCCTGAAACCCACAGGAGTGTCCTGAAACCCACAGGGTGTCCTGCAGACCCACAGGAGTGTCCTGAAACCCACAGGATTGTCCCACAGACCCACAGGAGTGTCCTGCAGACCCACAGGAGTGTCCCACAGACCCACAGGAGTGTCCCACAGACCCACAGGAGTGTCCCACAGACCCACAGGAGTGTCCTGAAACCCACAGGAGTGTCCCACAGACCCACAGGAGTGTCCTGAAACCTACAGGAGTGCCCCACAGACCCACAGGAGTGTCCTGAAACCCACAGGAGTGTCCTGAAACCCACAGGAGTGTCCTGCAGACCCACAGGAGTGTCCTGAAACCCACAGGAGTGTCCCACAGACCCACAGGAGTGTCCTGCAGACCCACAGGAGTGTCCCGCAGACCCACAGGAGTGTCTCACAGACCCACAGGAGTGTCCTGAAACCCACAGGAGTGTCCCACAGACCCACAGGAGTGTCCTCCAGACCCACATGAGTGTCCCGCAGACCCACATGAGTGTCCCACAGACCCACAGGAGTGTCCTGCAGACCCACAGGAGTGTCCTGCAGACCCACAGGAGTGTCCTACAGACCCACAGGAGTGTCCTGAAACCCACAGGAGTGTCCCACAGACCCACAGGAGTGTCCTGAAACCCACAGGAGTGTCCTGCAGACCCACAGGAGTGCCCCACAGACCCACAGGAGTGTCCTGAAACCCACAGGAGTGTCCTGAAACTCACAGGAGTGTCCCACAGACCCACAGGAGTGTCCCACAGACCCACAGGAGTGCCCCACAGACCCACAGGAGTGTCCTGAAACCCACAGGAGTGTCCCGCAGACCCACAGGAGTGTTCTGAAATCCACATGAGTGCCCCACAGACCCACAGGAGTGTCCTACAAACCCACAGGAGTGTCCCACAGACCCACAGGAGTGCCCCACAGACCCACAGGAGTGTCCTGCAGACCCACAGGAGTGTCCCACAGACCCACAGGAGTGCCCCACAGACCCACAGGAGTGTCCTGCAGACCCACAGGAGTCCCCACAGAACTGCCTTCAGTGCCTCAGCATCCCCCACTCGTGGCTGCCAGGAGAGGCCCCAGGCTGATCCCTTTTATTAATTCTCATTTTTACACTCTGCCAGCTCCCTTCTTCTTTCCCTCTCTGTCCTGTCCCATGCCAGGCTGATCCCTTTTATTAATTCTCATTTTAACACTCTGCCAGCTCCCTTCCTTTCCTTCTTTCCCTCTCTGTCCTGCCCCATGCCAGCCCCAGCAGTGCAGGGATCCAATATTGCTGCTCCTGAATCTGGAAAATTCATCCTCCAGAACACAGCAGGAGCCTCAGCCCTTGCAGCTGCTTTGCATGACAGGCTGCACTGTTTGAATACGCTGAAAAATTATTTTTTAATTATTATTTTAATACTCAGAACAACTTTTTTATTTTTAAGGCCCTGTACAGTTATTTAAAAAATAATTTTAAAATTCAGAACAATTATTTTTATAACTATTTTAATACCCTGTACAAGGACTTTCTTGCTATTTTATTACCCTCTAAAATTATTTAATTATTATTATTATTTTAATACCCAGTATAAGGATTATTTTATTATTATTAATATCCTGTACAAGTATTTTTTTACTATATTAATACTCTTTACAAAGATTTTTTTACTATTTTCATACCCTGTACAAGGATTTTTAAGTTATTATTATTTTAATACCCTGTATAAGGATTTTTTACTGTTTTAATACTTACAGGGGGTTTTACTCTTAATACACTAAACAACTATTTATTGATTATTTTAATATCTTCTACAAAGAGTATTTAGTTCTTTTAATACCCTACACAATTTACTGTTTAATACTCTGTAAAAGGACCTTTTTACTATTTTATTATTCTGTACAAGGGTTTTTTTTTTGTTATTATTTTCATACCCTGTACAAGCATTTTTTTTACTATTTCAATATTATTACAGCGATATATATATATATATTTACTATTTTAATCATTGTACAAGGACTTTTTTCATTATTTTCATATCCTGTACAAGCATTTTTTTTGCTATTTTAATATAATAACAGGGATTTTTTTTTTAAATATTTTAATCATTGTACCAAGGACTTTTTTTCATCATTTTCATACCCTGTACAAGCATTTTGTTACTATTTTAATATAATTACAGGGATATTTTTTGTACTAGTTTTATCATTATACAAGGATTTTTTCATTATTTTCATACCCTGTGCAAGCATTTTTTTTTACTATTTTAATATAATTACAGGGATATTTTTTTTTACTATTTTAATCATGGCTACAAAAAGCTGGGATCCAGAACCACAAGAGTGCCACAGGGCTCTGACAGAGACAAAATATTCAGCTCCACGAGCTGCACACAAATAAAAGCTTTAAAACCCCAGAATTTCGTGCTGAATAAGAACTTTTACATCAAAGCTCTGCTTCAGGGCTGCCTCTTGTGCAAGGACAAAAGAGGAAGAAGAGCAGGACTGAAATGAAGAAATGTCTGAGCTACCAGCAGGAAAATGCCCCAGGGTGAGTTTTTCATCTGAGTCCTGCTAAAAAAAAATAAAATTAAAAAAAAAAAAAAAAAAAGAGGAAATGCCCAGGAATAACCCCTTGAGATCATCCTGAGGCGTCAAAACAAGCAATTATAAAAATAGAAAACTGTAAAATAAGCCCAGCCAGGAAAGCTGTGCCCCAGGGCACAGGAAAGGGCTCTCAGCTCAGCCAAACAGGAAAGGAGTGGGAGATTACTACCAGAAAAGGCACATTTTGAGACATTACTTGTTTATCTCTATTTCTGTGCAGCCACAACTGCTTTTGTTGAAAAACAAAGTTTCTCTTCTACAGGAGAAACCCCACAGGTCCCCACGTACCTCCCTGAAGTGTGATGGGATTTCCAGAGGTGGCTGAGCCCAGTATTTGATTTTTTGGTGGTATTTCCACAGGAACAGGGAAGCAGCTACCACCAGATTTAAAGCCACGAACCCCACGGAAAACAGGAAGATGATGTACCAAGCTCGGGTTGCCTCTGGAAAAGAAGGAAAACCAGCCAAATACGATATGGCAGGCTCACATTTATGGAATCATGGAATGGTTTGGGTTGGGAGGGACCTTAAACTCCATCCCTGCCATGGCAGGGACACCTCCCACTGCCCCAGGCTGCTCCAACCTGGCCTTGGGCACTGCCAGGGATCCAGGGGAATCTGGGAATTCCATCCCAGCCCTGCCCACCCTGCCAGGGAACAATTCCCAATTCCCAATCTCCCACCCAGCCCTGCCCTCTGGCAGTGGGAGCCATTCCCTGGCTCCTGTCCCTCCATCCTTGTCCCCAGTCCCTCTGCAGCTCTCCTGGAGCCCCTTCAGGCCCTGGCAGGGCTCTGAGCTCTGCCTGGAGCTTCTCCTCTCCAGGTTGAACATTCCCAGCTCTCCCAGCCTGGCTCCAGCCCTGGAGCAGCTCCATTATCCCATTTTACAGCAGGATTAGGAAGGAAAAGGAGACGGTACCACACAGCCCCTCCATCCCTGATTCTTTTGCCAGTAATGCCAAGTGTGAAGTCCCCATGGTGCTCTCAGCATTCCTGACAAACTGGCTGTGGCAGGGACCAGTCCAGGTGATCCAGGACTTTGTTCCACCCCATCCCACTCCACACAAAGCCCCATTCCCTCTCCATACCACTGAGGGCAGTTCTGTGACACTCTGGGGCACTTTGCTGCCCTTCTAACAAGTGACCCGAGTAGATCTTCAACTGCACTTGAATGCTGAAGCAATAAAGTGTTGACTCCTTTAGATTTCCAATTTCGAATCGTGTCTTGCTTTCACTTAGCTTCTGTTGGAAAGAACAGAAAAGGTGTAACCAGACCAGTTTTCAACGCAAACATCCCTCCCCCATTTAAATTTCTCATTCAAGAATCCAAATTTTTGGTTTTTCTCACTCAGCTTTCCCAAACAACAGAAACAGTGGAATATTTCAGTTTTTCTGGGATGTTTGATGCAGCTTCTGCAGCAGCTCAGGCAGGGAGCAAAACACGGAGAAAGGGAGGGGAAAATGAAACCACAGTGACTCCTTTCCTGGCTCTCAGCTGAAGGTGTTCTGTGTGTGAGAAAAACACACAGCGCTGCAAGGCAGGAAGGATGTGGAGATGCTTGACCAAGGACTCTGAAGCAGAAGGGGGGTGTAAATAAATTTTTTTTTTTGCTTCTGCTTTTTAAATGTTTGACTTCACATTGATGTCATTTGGAAGCTTCCTCTTTTTAATTTTTTTTTTTTTTTAAGCCTGGCTTAACCTCCCCTGTGCCTCTGGGCTGTCCAAACACAATTCCCAGGCCCCCAGGCAGCAGTAGGAGCACACGATGACCCCAAAGCCTCTGAGCCTCAGGATGAACAGGCCCAGCTCATCCCAGTTCATCCCAGCTCATCCCAGCACCATCCTTCCATCTCCTGCTCTCCTGCCTGGCACCAGCAGCTGCTCCTGCAGCTCCCAGCACAGCAAAGGAGCAGGCACTTTCCAGAATTCCCAAATTGCCTGAGCAAACTGCAGAATCAAAAGCCACCACTGGCAGCAGTTCTGTCCCCGGCTGTGAAATCAGAGGGGTTTAATCCCCTTCCAAAGAGAGGGAGGAAGCTCCCAGGTTTGAAGTGCAGCAATCCCCGTGCCAAGGCCAGGAGCTGTTTCCCCACAGCCAGCGGTGACCCTCTGGACACAGAATACGGATTTTCTGCCCCCACTGCCGCCCTGCCCTCGGTCCCCAGGCACCAAAACAAATTGGAGAGAATTCTCACTTTTTCTGTGGGACTGGAGGAGTTCTCCCAGTAGGACACGAGGTACTGGAGGAGGTCCCCGGGCTCGGGGGTGAAGGGGGGGCTGACACCGACGAGCAGAGAGTCGGGTCTGGCGCTGACATTGTTCACCCTGGGGGGACCCAGAGTGGCTGGAAACAAACAGAGAGAGCAGGGGGAGCCTGGGGGCACAGCTGCCTCCAGCTCCACACAACCCCAAATCCCTGGGGCTGGAAAAGCCCTCCCAGCCCAGGGAGTCCCAGCTGTGCCCATGCCCACCTTGTCCCCAGCCCAGAGCACTCAGTGCCACCTCCAGGGGACACCTGCAGGGATGGGCACTCCAAAGCTCCCTGGGCAGCCCCTGCCAGGGCCTGAGCCCCCTTTCCATGGGGAAATTGCTGCTGCTGTCCCAGCTGAGCCTGCCCTGGCCCAGCCTGAGGCCGCTCCCTCTCCTCCTGTCCCTGTTCCCTGGAGCAGAGCCCGACCCCCCGGCTGTCCCCTCCTGGCAGGAGCTGTGCAGAGCCACAAGGTCCCCCTGAGCCTCCTTTTCTCCAGGCTCAGCCCCTTCCCAGCTCCCTCAGGAACTCTCCAGCCCCTTCCCAGCTCCCTCAGGAACTCTCCAGCCCCTTCCCAGCTCCGTTCCCTGCCCTGGACACTCTCAGCAAGCACCTCAAACATCGACTGCTTTTCCTCAGGAAAGGACAAGCATTTCCTCACCTACTTGCTGCATTTAGAATATTTGCTTGACTTTTCCTGGAAATTCAGTGAATATTAACCAACAGTTGATGCTGTCAAGTGTCTCAGTTTATCTGCAGTTACCTGCCACAAAATCATTGTCTTTTCCTTTGATCAGCCTGCCATGCTTTCCTTGTTCCCCAAAACCCCACTGTTTGGGCCCTAGATGGGCAGAGGAATAATGACTTTTCCTCTCCTTGCTTTGATGTCATAGGGGTGGGATGGGATGGGCTGTGAGTCCTTCCAACCCAACTCTTTTGTGACTTAAAGTGTGGCCTTGAATCTTCTACACTGTACTGTAAACAATTTATATTTCTCTGAACAACTTATATTTATCTGAACCATTTATATTATCAGGACAATTTGTCATGGCAATTTATATTTATCTGAACCATTTGTATTATCAGGACAATTTGTCATGGCAATTTATATTTATCAGGACACTGTATGTTTATCAGAAGAGGGATCTGTCCAGCAGAAAGAGGTTTTTAGCCTCAGATTGACACAAACCAGAGAGTTTGTGGTGTGTGTGTGGGCAGAGCTCAGCAGGGAAATGAGCAGATGGAAAATCCTCCAGCAGAAGAATGCTGTGGCTCTTTGTGGCTCAGGGGTTTCTCTGGTGACACTGAGAGCAGAGCAGAACCAAACCCTGGGGACGCCTCGGAGCCTTTGTGGGCAGTAACAGCTCAATCCTCCTGATACCTTGGGTTTTAAGATTCTCTGTTTTGGTGTGCAGCTTTTAGCTTTATATTAAGTGTTACTGGGATCTTTTCACAGCGTGGGGAAGACAAAACAATCCTATTCCAGCTGGAGACTCAAGGACAATCTCTTCAAACTTCAGGCCCAAAGCTCAAACAACGTGAAAAGAGGAGGACGGGCAAGTGAGCAAGGAGGATGAGACTTCATCATTTGAAGCTATTAATTGGAGAGTTGACTCCTGTATGCAAATGGACTAATAAAAATGTGAGATCTCCTGACCAAGCGCTTTCGCCCATCTTGGAGCCACCTGGGCAGAGCCAGGACTGTGGCTCTGGTGCTGCCCTGGATCCCTGGCAGTGCCCAAGGCCAGGCTGGAGCAGCCTGGGACAGTGGGAGGTGTCCCTGCCATGGCAGGGTGGGATTTAAGGTCCCTCCAGCCCACTCTGGGTCCCATGACTGCACACTGTTGATTTTGCATTTAGAAATGAGTCATTGCCCCTGCCAGCCTCAAAACCACCCAACAGATGTGGGAACCCAGGGCTTCCCTCTGGCTGCCCTGGCAGGTCTGGGACCCTGGCAGGGGTCAGGAACCCCCCTGGACAGAGCCCCCAGAGACACTGGCTGTGATCTCTGTCCATGGAAAAGAGTTTTCAATCTTACAGGATGAATTACAAGCTCTGAGTGTTTGATATAAGTAATAATTAAGTGTGGCACTGGTGCAAAAGTAAAATTTTAGGATTCTAGATGAGGGGTCCAAAGGGGACAAGATGGAGGAAATTGGGTGTGCCTTGTCCTTTTTCTCCTTCTTCATGCCCTCCATGTTTCACTGTGCTGTTGGCATTTTTCTGTTGGTTCAGGCTGGGGACACACTGTCCAACGTAGGTGACAGATATTGGCACGTTATTGTAAATCCAGCACAGGTAGTTTGTGGTATTTAATGTTTGTAACATCCCACTGAGGGCAGAGCCCCACACGCTGCCCTGCAGGACAGAGCTGCGGCAGGGCAGCAGAACATGTGAGAGATAAACAGAATAAACAACCTTGAAACAGCACAGACCAATTATGGCTTCTGCTTTGGCTGTGGGCTGACAGACAGAGACTTTTTACAGTCTTGGGATCATCAATAGCTCAGATTCCGACAAGCAGACCCTTCAGTGATATCCCCTTTCTCCTGAGAGCTGATGCCAGCTCTGTCCCAGCTGCTCAGCCCCCTCCCAGCAGAGCCCACCCGGACCCCTGCGGGGCTGTGCCCAGCACTCACTGTTTGTCTCGGCCACGAAGGGAGGGGTGAGCACCCAGGGCGAGGCCAGGGCTCCCCGCTCGGCGCGCAGCCGGAGCAGGATGGTCCAGCGCCGCCGCCGCAGCTCGGGGGGGAACGGGCACCACGTCCGGGGGGTCTGTGCACAGCCCATCCCGCTCCAGGCGCCGTAGAACCCTCTGCAGAGCACAGAAAAACCTTCCCTTAGGCTGCAGGGACCCCTTGTGTGTGCTGCCACTGCTATGGGTCCTGTCACTGTGGCAGAGGTTTCACAGGCACTGCTGCGAGCCAGGGGGAAGGCTGGTAAGAGGATCCATGTTTACCCCTGAAAGAGCTTTCACAGAATTCCCAGAATTCCCAGGATCACTGGGATGGAAGAGACCTTCAAGACCATCAAATCCAACCCAGCCCCAGCCCCTCAACTCAGCCCTGGCACCCAGTGCCACATCCAGGCTTTGTTAAACACACCCAGGGATGGGGACTCCACCACCTCCCCGGGCAGCCACTCCAGAACTTTATCACCATTTCTGTAAAACCTTTTCCCTGCTATCCAACCTGTATTTCCCTTGGCTCAGCTCGAGGCTGTGAGCTCTGGTTGTGTCAGTGCTGCCTGGAGACAGAGCCCAGCCCCAGCTGGGCACAGGCACCTTTCAGGAGCTGTGGGGAGTGCCAAGGTCACCCCTGAGCCTCCTTTTCTCCAGGCTGGGCACCCCCAGCTCCCTCAGGGGTTCCTCGCAGGGTTTGTGTTCCCAGCCCCTCTCCAGCCTCACTGCCCCCTCTGGACCTTCCCAAGGTCCTTCCCAAACAGAGGGGCCAGGCCTGGACACTGAACTCTACCAAGGTTATTGACATAGAAACTTGTTGCCCTGATTTTTAAAAGCATTAAGCTTTCTTTTATAGTTCTTTTGAAAGTTTTAAAGTTCTCATGAAACTCCTTTAGCCTTCTGATAATGTTTACATATTTGAGAATCAGAATTCCTACACAATTTCATGCATAAATAGAATAGGTTACATATTTGTGGGTGGAGAGAAATGACTGATTGATCTTTGAACCAGTGTGGTTGGAAAGGTAGTAATTCCATCCTCCAATCCAAAACAGTCACCTTTGGAATTCTATAAATACCACATGTTTGAATAAAACTGGGTCTTTTTCTCTTTTGAACTTACCGAGCTCCTGTGTACTCATTTCGTGTCTGAGACAGAGTGAAATTTTTTATTTCATGTCCAATAGCAACAGAAACCAAGAAAGAAAGAAGGAGAAATAAGATAAACTTGAAACAGCCTGTTCCAATAAACACTTTGTTTGTCTCTGGTGACCAATGAGTAAAGTGTAAACTTAGGAGTTTTGTAAGAATGTATAAAAAGCATGCATTAATAAAAAGAGTTTGAAGCCTTCTGAAAATGGAGTGTGGTGCTTTGTATTGCCTCCATCTCAACTACAACACATCACCATCTGTTGAAACCAGGTGGGGCAGAGTTCTTTAGCTCACCCATGATTATCATCGATGGCAGGCAAGGATTTTAAGGTGATTTACCTGCCCTTGAAAAATAGGGCATGTAAATGGCAAAAATCAGAGGATTTGCAAATTGCATTATTGAACTTCTCAGCTGTTTGTTCTATTCACTTTCCAGGCTGTTGCAAGCAAAACAGCTTCAGAGGAAAACCCACGTTAAGTGAAATGCCTTTCGATGCTGTAACAGTATTTACCGATGGCTCTGGGAAAACACACAAATCAGGAATAACATGGCATGAGCAGACAACTAAAACCTGGGAGTCAGACATCCAAACAGCCAAAGGTTCTCCTCAAATTGTCAAATTAGCAGCAGTCGTTAAAGATATCCCTCACAACTCCAGGGGGGCAGCCTCTGTGAATGGCCAGCTGTCAAAACCAGGTGGGGCAGTTTTCTTTATCTCCTCCACAGCCATCCCTCATAACTCTGGGGGAGTTTCTTCTGTTCATGGGCCATTAATCACTAATTATCTTCTGTCCATGGCCAGTGGGTGTCCCTGCATGGCTGAGAAAATTCCATCATCCCATGGGGAGATGCTCAGCACAAGCATTCCTACCTGGATCCAATCTGACCTGGGAACAGCACAGCAGCCTTTGCCCCCTGCATTCCCAGAGGAGCAGCTTTCTTCCCACTGCATTCCCAGAGGAGCAGCTTTCTTCCCACTGCATTCCCAGAGGAGCAGCTTTCTTCCCCACTGCATTCCCAGAGGAGCAGCTTTCTTCCCCACTGCATTCCCAGAGGAGCAGCTTTCTCCCCACTGCATTCCCAGAGGAGCCCAGGCCCATCTCCCCCAGCCCTGGAGCTCCAGAGGAAAACTCCCCCCTTGTGCAGGATCCTGCTCCAGCAGAAGCACAGCTGGCACTGCAGGAGGGCTGAGCCACCCTGGGATGGGGCTGCTGCCACCTCCCTGACACACAGCTGCCAGGGCTGCTCTGACTCTGCCAGTGTTGTTTTGTGTTATTGCATTTATATTTTAATTTTCCTACTAAAGAACTGTTATTCCTGCTCCCACATCTTTGCCTGAGACCCCCTTAATTTCAAATTTAGAACAATTCCGAGAGAGAGGGTTTGCATTTTCCATTTCAAGGGAGGCTCCTGCCTTCCTCAGCAGACACCTGGGTTTTCAAACCCAGACAATAAACCACCTGGACCACCACCCCCGTCCCAGCCAGCCCTGGTGAGACAAGAACGTGTCACACAGCTGTGGCTTCACAAGGGTTAAACTAACCCCAGGGCCCACCCAGCCCCTGGATCTGGGGAAATTTAAACTGGCCAGAGAGAATCAGGAAAGGCTAAAATTCTGTGCAGCACTTCTGGGTGTCCTCAGGGCTTCAATCTCTCCTCAGCTCAGAGGACACCAATGGGCCAAGGGCCTGTCAGTCTCCAGGAGCTGCTCCTGGAGACACATGAAAACATCTCTGATAAAAAATGCTTTTTATCTTTTTCATTTATTTTATCTTTTTTATCTATTTTATTAAAGTCTGTGCTTATTAATTTTCAGTGTTTCTGGGGTTTGTAAAACCAGTTGTTATCCTGCATGAGAACAAAATGAGTTGGTTTTATTTACTGTTTACTCACGTTTTGTAATGGGCTGTGTACACCACCGAGCCATTCTCCACTGGAACAGGAGACCACCTCAGCAAACTCTGGAAGTTGTAGGAATAAACCTCCACATTTTTCGGCGCTGGTAAATAGGAAGAAGTTTCTAAAGGAAGAAGAGGAATAAATAAAAATATATATATTGAAACATTCAAGTGCACAGTAACCAAATTTTGGTCTCCAAATTCCATCACCATATATTAAATTTCCACTGATTTGTAGGTAAAACCTTTTCCTCTCCTTCTTCATCTGTTTCCAGGGCTCTGCCATGTTCAGGTGGGCAGGGCTGGGATGGAATTCCCAGATTCCCCTGGATCCCTGGCAGTGCCCAAGGCCAGGCTGGACACTGGGGCTGGAGCAGCCTGGGACAGTGGGAGGTGTCCCTGCCATGGCAGGGGTGGCACTGGGTGGGATTTGATGTCCCTTCCATCCCAAACCAGTCTGGGATTCTGTGTATCCATGAATTCCAACCCCCTGTTTTTATTCATTCCATAAAGAGCATAAAATGGAAAGTACCAAGCCCAGCACAAAACCACAAACCCCACCCAGCCCCCAGGAAGCCATAAATGAAGGTCCCAGGATCACCAAGGCTGGAAGAGCCCTCAGGATCACCCAGTGCCACCCCAGCAGCACAAACAATGTGAAAAGACCCCACCCCAGCATCACCCAAACTCTGTCCCCAAGGCCACAGCCAGACTCGTGCTGAACACTCCCAGACAGCGACTCCAAACCTCCCTGGGCAGCTCATCCCAAGGCCTGACCACTCTGTGAGGAAAAATTATTTATAATTTCTGCTCTGCCCCTCCCCCGGTGCCATTTGAGGCCATTTCCTCTTCTCCTTTCCCCTGGGACTCCGCAGCAGAGCCCGACCACCCTCCTGGCAGGGACTGTGCAGAGCAGTGAGCTCCAGGCTGAGCCTCCTTTTCTCCAGGCTGAGCCCCCTTCTGCTCTTTACACATTCTTTTTTTTTTTCTGGAAGGTTTTCCAGCCCTTCCAAGGTTTTTCCCTGCCCATTGGTGATCCCAGCAGCTGATCTGTTCTATCTGCAGCTCACGTTTGCCTCCCTGCACGACCCAGGTGGGCACCCAGTGCCAGCCCTGCCCACCCTGCCAGGGAACAATTCCCAATTCCCAATCTCCCACCCAGCCCTGCCCTGTGGCAGTGGGAGCCATTCCCCTTGTCCTGTCCCTCCATCCTTGTCCCCAGTCCCTCTGCAGCTCTCCTGGAGCCCCTCCAGGCCCTGGCAGGGCTCTGAGCTCTGCCTGGAGCTTCTCCTCTCTTCTCCTCCCCCATCTCCCTCCTGCCAACCCTGAGGCCATTCCGGACACATCAGGGACACATCAGGGACACATCAGGGACACATCGGGGACACATCAGGGGACACATCAGGGACACATCAGGGACACATCAGGGACACATCAGGGACACATCAGGGACACATCAGGGACATATCAGGGGACACATCAGGGACACATCAGGGACACATCAGGGACACATCAGGGACATATCAGGGACACAACAGGGACACATCGGGGACACATCAGGGGACACATCAGGGACACACCAAGAGCCACATCAGGGCCACCATCGGCCTCCAGCTCCTGGCCAGGAAGGGCACAGCAAAGGGAGGAGCCGTGTCTGAGGGACAGAAGGACAGACTGACAGGCCAGGAAGGCGAGGAGGACGATGACAAAAACATGACCAAAAAGGGACAGAGGCAGGCAGGGCCTGCAGGGCAGCCAGAGGCGAAGGGAAGGGAAATGGGGGCGGTGGTGGAGAGCAGGAAGGGCTGAGGAGGAGGAGGAGGAGGAGGAGGAGGGAGCGGCCGGAGCCAGGGAGGAAGAGCAGAACCAGAAGCTGCCCTGGGATCTCTCCTGGAGCCTGCAGGGACCAGCAGGGAGGGAGGAAGGCTTTCCTCCTGTACCCTGGGTGCTTTTCTGGAGTGACTCCCTCACACCATGAGGGGCACAGAATAATTGGGATGGAGGGGCTTGGAAGGGACTTCACAGATCACCCAGTGCCACCCCCTGCCAGGGGCAGGGACACCTCCCACCTTGGCCTGACAAAGAACCGTGACAAAATGCCCCACATCACAGCAGGCAAGTTCTTACCCTGAAGAACAGCGTCTCCCAAGACACAGTCTGTTAATTTTTACATCAACAAGATCAGGAGATCAAGCACTCGAATCAAATTCTGGCCCAGGCTTCCCTGGGAATTTGGATTAATTTAAAAAGTTTGGGTCTTTTTGATTTCTACATTAAGTTGCATTAAACCCTAAGTCCAAAATACCGAATAATGAGTTGAGCTTTAGCTTTCCAAGAAAAGCTGTGGCTGCCCCATTCCTGGAAGTGTCCAAAGGCCAGGCTGAAGCAATCTGGGCCAGGGGAAGGTATCCCTGCCCATGGCAGGGGGTGGAACAGTGACATCCCTCCCACCCCGAGCCAGGCTGTGTTTCTCTCAAAGCTTTAATCAGCCTGTCATTAATGTCTCCCAGGCTGAGAAATTAATGCCACATTAATTTCTCAGCCTCAGCTCTGGGGCAGCACTCTCAGAACACACACACTGCCTTGGGCCACGTTCAGCTTTGCAAACCCCTGGGAGATTCCTCACGGCTTCCCAAACCATCCCCCTCTCGGGTGCTGGGAAGGCCCCCAAGGAGCCTTCTCTAAACTGGTGAGAAATTTTCACTTTCCAGTCCCACGGATCCTGTCTTGCACTCTCGCTGCTGGTCTGACATGTGGTGAGGTATCTCACACCATCTGTGCCCTCAGACCTCTGCTGCACGCCCTTCTGCAGAATCCCAGGAAGCTCTGAGAGCAAAACACCACAGCAGCAATTCCCAGCACACCTTAAAAGTAAATCAAAAAAGAGCGATGAAGGACAGGGGGAGATGGGATTTTGGGAATTGGGATTTGTTCCCTGGCAGGGTGGGAATTCCCAGATTCCCCTGGATCCCTGGCAGTGCCCAAGGCCAGGTTGGACACTGGGGCTGGAGCAGCCTGGGACAATGGGAGGTGTCCCTGCCATGGCAGGATGGAATTTAAGGTTCCTCCAGCCCAGTCTGGGATCCCATGACTGCACATTGTTTATTTGCATTTAGAAATTACTCATTTCCCCTGTCAGCTCCAAAAACACTGCAGAGCTCACCAAAAACACTGCAGAGCTTATCACAGCCACGCCAGGGCTCACCAGCCCTCTGAGGATGCCACGAGGGTGCCACGAGGCTGAGGAACTGCTTTCTCAGCACCCAGAGAAATCTGAATTTCTGTCAGATCCCTCCCTCGCAGGGCAGGGACTGCAACTGCTGAAATCACGCCCTCAACTTCCTACTCATCTCCAGTTTGTACGGCCTAAAATAACACAATGAACACTTCAAACACGGCGCCCACGGGTCCAAGCACCACTCAAAACCCCAAACTCCCCCAGGCAAAGACAGAGAGGTCTTTCCTTCCCACCCGGCAGGGCTTTGCACTGGGCTGGTTTTTCAGAGCAGCCCAGGAAGGCTCAGATTGTTTTTTCCTGCTGTGCAGAGAATCGATGATATTTCAAACCACGAGTCAGAACTTTCACCCAGCAGAGTGTGAAGCCACAATCACTGCCAGTGAAAGCAGCTTGGCTGGGGTGACCCACCCGTGTCCCAGCTCCTGCTGCTCCTCAGGGGTTCCCCATCCCTTGTCCTGCATCAGCCCCCAGCCATTCTGCAAAGCTGGCAGGACAGGAAGCCGGGCTTTGGGGGATTTTGGGTGGACTTCTGCTGTTCCAGTGCACCAAAGTGGCTTCTCAGGGGTAGTGTAAGATTCCCATCCATGGCGCGGGGAGATCAGCTACCAGGCCCTTCCTCATCCAACCTATTTTGGGATTGGGGGATTCCCGGAGCTCCCTGGGAAGTCGCTGGGCTGCTGATGGGATGGAACCGGGCAGTGCTGGCTGCTGGAGGCCGTGCCCTGGTTCGCGTCCAGCAGGTCAGGCTGGTCAGGGTGGCCGCGGCCACCACCGGGACACGGCCACGGGACACGCGGAACCCACCGAGAGCCGCGGGGAGGCACAGGGGACACGGCCCCGGGCAGTGAGCCCCGCAAACCGAACCCCGCAATCGCCGAGCCCCGCAAACCGAACCCTGCAAACGCTGAACCCACAAACACCGAGCCCCGCAAACACCGAGCCCCGCAAACACCGAGCCCCGCAAAGACTGAACCCCGCAAACGCTGAACCCCCAAAACACCGAGCCCCGCATCTCCCCGAACCCCGCAAACGCCGAACCCCGCATCCCCCCAAGCCCCGCAAACACCGAGCCGCACATTCCCCGAATCCCACAAACGCAAAATCCGCACCCCCCGAACCCCGCATCCCCCGAACCCCGCATCCCCCCGAACCCCGCACCCCCCGAACCCCGCACCCCCCGAACCCCGCATCCCCCGAACCCCCATCCCCCGAACCCCGCACCCACCGAACCCCCATCCCCCCGAACCCCCATCCCCCCGAACCCCGCACCCCCCGAACCCCGCACCCCCCGAACCCCGCACCCCGGGCCCGCACCCACCCGGGGCCGCGGCCCGCGCCGAGCCCAGCAGCAGGAAGAGCAGCAGGAACAGGAGCGGGAACAGGAGCGGGAGGGAGCGGAGCGGAGCCCGGCCCCGCATAGCCCCGCTCGGCCGCGGGTCCCCGAGCGCGGCCGGGCCGTGCCGGGCCGGGCTGGGGCGGCCGCACGCTCCGACCCCGCAGCGCCACCGCTCCGCCCCCGCACCGCCGCTGTCACCGCCGCTGTCACCGCCCCCGGGGGCTGAGCCCGGCCCGGCCCCGCCCGAGGGCGCTGCCAGCCCCGGCAGGGCCGGGCAGGGGCGGCCAGGGCGGTGCCCTGGCCCTGTCCTGCCCCTTCTCCTGCCCCTGGCCTTGTCTCTGTGCCGGCTGTGGCCCCTTCTCCTGTCCTGTCCGAGTACCTGCCCCGTCCTTTCCTGCCCCTGTCTTCATCCCCAGCCCCTATCCCCATCCCCATCCCTTATCCCCATCCCTTATCCCCATCCCCATCCCCATCCCTATCCCCATCCCTATCCCTTATCCCCATCCCCATCCCCATCCCCATCCCCATCCCCATCCCATCCCCATCCCCATCCCCATCCCCATCCCCATCCCTATCCCCATCCCTATCCCTTATCCCCATCCTTATCTGTCCCCTATTGCTATTCTTGTCCCTACGACGCCCCTGTCCCCTGTCCCTGTGGTTGATGTGAGGACATCTCACCCCGGTTTCTCCAGCTGCACCGGGCACAGCAGCAGCCCCTGGTGACACTGACCACACCTGCAGCCCCTGGTGACACTGACCACACCTGCAGCCCCTGGGGACACTGACCTGCAGCCCCTGGGGACACTGACCCACACCTGCAGCCCCTGGGGACACTGACCTACAGCCCCTGGGGACACTGACCCACACCTGCAGCCCCTGGGGACACTGACCACACCTGCAGCCCTTGGGGACACTGACCCACACCTGCAGCTCGTGGTGACACTGACCTGCAGTCCCTGGGGACACTGACCCACACCTACATCCCCTGGGGACACTGACCCACATCTGCAGCCTCTGGTGACACTGACCTGCAGCCCCTGGGGACACTGACCTGCAGCCCCTGGTGACACTGACCATGCCTGCAGCCCCTGGGGACACTGACCTGCAGCCCCTGGGGACACTGACCCACACCTGCAGCCCCTGGGGACACTGACCCACACCTACATCCCCTGGGGACACTGACCCACACCTACATCCCCTGGGGACACTGACCCACACCTGCAGCCCCTGGGGACACTGACCTGCAGCCCCTGGGGACACTGACCAGACACTGACCATGCCTGCAGTCCCTGGGGACACTGACCCACACCTACATCCCCTGGGGACACTGACCCACACCTGCAGCCCCTGGGGACACTGACCCACACCTACAGCCCCTGGGGACACTGACCCACACCTACATCCCCTGGGGACACTGACCCACACCTGCAGCCCCTGGGGACACTGACCCACACCTACATCCCCTGGGGACACTGACCCACACCTACATCCCCTGGGGACACTGACCCACACCTGCAGCCCCTGGGGACACTGACCTGCAGCCCCTGGGGACACTGACCACACCTGCAGCCCCTGGGGACACTGACCTGCAGCCCCTGGGGACACTGACCCACACCTGCAGTCCCTGGGGACACTGACCACACCTGCAGCCCCTGGGGACACTGACCATGCCTGCAGCCCCTGGGGACACTGACCTGCAGCCCCTGGGGACACTGACCCACACCTGCAGCCCCTGGGGACACTGACCTGCAGCCCCTGGGGACACTGACCCACACCTGCAGCCCCTGGTGACACTGACCTACAGCCCCTGGGGACACTGACCCACACCTGCAGCCCCTGGGGACACTGACCTACAGCCCCTGGGGACACTGACCCACACCCACATCCCCTGGTGACACTGACCTGCAGCCCCTGGGGACACTGACCTGCAGCCCCTGGGGACACTGACCCACACCTACATCCCCTGGGGACACTGACCTGCAGCCCCTGGGGACACTGACCCACACCTGCAGCCCCTGGGGACACTGACCCACACCTGCAGCCCCTGGGGACACTGACCCACACCTACATCCCCTGGGGACACTGACCTGCAGCCCCTGGGGACACTGACCTACATCCCTTGGTGACACTGACCTGCAGCCCCTGGTGACACTGACCTGCAGCCCCTGGTGACACTGACCCACACCTACATCCCCTGGGGACACTGACCTGCAGCCCCTGGGGACACTGACCTGCAGCCCCTGGGGACACTGACCCACACCTGCAGCCCCTGGGGACACTGACCATGCCTGCAGCTGATGCCAGTGACAGCAGATTGTGACTGAAAACTGCTTTGGTTAAAAGCAGCAGAAGCAGAGGGGTATTTCGAGTGTCTCCTGAACACAATCGAAATGCTCTCTCTGAAACACTTCAGAGGGGAAATATTATTATTATTATTATTATCATAATTATCATCACTAATATTAGCACTACAGTGTCAGCAGGACTGTGGCTGGCAGGACTGCCAGCAGAGGAATCTGAGCAAGGTTAGGGTGTGTTAAACACCTGGAATGAACGCAGAGGATGTTCGGGTGCCCGACGGGTCCCTGGGCAGAGCTGGCACCGGTGCCAAGGGATTTCCGAGCAGGGAAGAATGGCAGGAGCTCATGTTCCCAGCAGCTCTGGTTCCCGGCTGGATGAATCACCGGATTCCGCTGCACTTCAGCTTTTTCTCCATCCAGGGAGAGATTTCTGCCTGTTCCTTGGCCCCGGGCTCTCGGGCGGGGCAGCAATAAAACAGGTGAGAATCTCCTGTAACAGCCTTTAACCCGCCGTTGTTAAATGGGGACATTGAACAGCAAAACAGAGCCCGCAGAGGCGCTTTAATTAGAGGGGCGCCTTCATTAATGAGGCTTTGACTGATGAAAGCAGCGTGGAGGAACTCGAAATTAAAGAAACTCAACTTGTGACTTAGGCAGTGGGGTTCCCCTCCTCCCTTCTGCTAAAGGACGCGTTTGATGACAGAAATCCCAGAACTTGTCATGTCTGTTTGCCCTTTGCCAAAGCAGAGGGGAACTCGGCCAGGGTCTTGGTTTCAGTCCAGGCAGGGTTTTGGCACAGCTCTGTCTTATCTGGAGCTTCCTGATAAATCACAGCCCAAGAAATGACTCCCCTGGAGTCCTCTCGGGTAGGAGGGAGGTCAAAGTGAGAAAAGGTTCATGGAAGATGCGGTACCCACCATTGGATGATGAGGGAGGATTTATCAAAACTGGAGCTTAAGGAGAATGGAGAATAAAGTGATTTGATGAAGACACAGGGAAGAGAGAGCTGGGTTTAGTGCAACACCCGATCAGAAAGAAAATAATATCAATAATCCAGGAAATCTGCAGAACCTACAGAAGTCCAGGGATAATTCTGTGTATTGCCTTTCTTGTCTTTGAGCCTAGGGAGAGGGAAGCAAAGTCAATATCAAATCAGACAGCGAGGGATAAATGAGCTCGTGATTTTCCTGCAGCCAAATTTCTGGCACAGAATCTTGAAAAAAAAAAAATCTACAAAAAGATAAAGAAGGTGCCCAAAAATAACAGAGAGGGAGAGGGGAAATGAATCCATTGCCAGACCCAGGGGCAGTTCCACATCAGGCAGTGATCAGGATGTGAACAATTTTAGCATCACAGTGGTCTGGGAGAGAAATCAGCCCCAGCCTTGTGTTCCTCAATCGTCCCTCTGTTAAAGAACCACAGGTAACTCAGTCAGGAAACTGAAACAAGAAAGAAAAGCAGGAAGGATCCCCTGTCCTATTCAAATTACACTTCAGAAAGTTTTAAAGAAATCACAGACTTATTACACCAAAAGCTCTTCAAACTCTGACCTCATTCCTTGCCACTCCTGGTGTCTGCTGCTTGGATTTTTGACCTTCTTCCTGGAAGAGAGACAGAATTGAGTTGTTTTACAGTGGTCTGACATTAACAGGAAAAACATTCTTAGAGAAAACCCACATTGGTCTGGTCAGCCACAAAGCCTCCCACTGCAAACTTTGCTGTGGGGGCTCTGCTGATGTTTGGGGATGATCTGGACCCTCATGTGCCAGCTGGGAACTCTTGGAGGTAGATAGAAAATTATTTAGATGTGTAAAGAGGCATCTCCAATTCAGTTTTGGTCTCAGTTTCCAGTCCTACCCTGCCCTCTGGCAGTGGGAGCCATTCTCTGCATCCTGTCCCTACAGCCCTTGTCCCCAGTCCCTCTGCTGGAGCCCCTTTAGGTGCCACAGCTACAGAGGGTTAAAGGAAATTACCTACAGAGGGTTAAAGGAAATTACCTACAGAGGGTTAAAGGAAATTACCCACAGGTTAAAGGAAATTATGTCACCCCGGGAAGAGATTTGAGTTTTAATGGATGATTTTTAAGGTCCCTTCCAGCCCAAGCCAGCCTGGGATTCTGTGATTTCACCTGGCTCAGGTGACACAGTGCCTGTAAAAGGGACAGGTCACAAATAGATCAGGAAGGAAAAAAGCAACTCCTCCCTCCCTGGGTTGTGTTGGATGTTCTGTGTTCTGACCTAGAGCAGGAGTTTGGGTTTGCTGCTGAATTCTGAGCTGGGCCAGGCTTTCCCAGAGCCTTTGGGCTCATTGTGTGTGTGCGTTTCACCATGTTGTGAGGCTCAAAGTAAAAAAAAAAAAAAAAGGTGTTAAAAGTAAAAAAAAATTGTGCTACAGTTAAAAAAAAATGTGTTTAGAGATTCACTTACAGTAAATCTGTGATGAAATCGAGTCTGGGAGACAGAGGAAGTGCAGTCAGGCAGTGCCTGATCAGAGCAGTTTCCACGAGCAAACAGAGCTCTACTCATGTGAGAGATAAACACCCCATTCCAGGAATGAACTTGTCTGCCAGGTCAGCCCTTCTGAGAAGAGGCTTGTCTTGGGGTATGAAATTAATCCTGAATTTTGGGTGTCTGGGCATGACACTGAGGGTGGTAAATAGCTGTAGGAACAAAAAGATCACAGTGGCCAAGGGAAGTCAGTTCCTCAAATGGTGACATTTAGGGGGAATCACAGAATCCCAGACTGGTTTGGGCTGGGAGGGATCTTGAAATCCACCCAGTGCCACCCCAGGGACACCTCCCAGTGTCCCAGGCTGCTCCAGCCCCAGTGTCCAGCCTGGCCTTGGGCACTGCCAGGGATCCAGGGGAATCTGGGAATTCCATCCCAGCCCTGCCCACCCTGCCAGGGAACAATTCCCAATTCCAATCTCCCACCCAGCCCTGCCCTCTGGCAGTTTAAGGCCACTGCCCCCTGTCCTACCACTTTCTGCCCACATAAAAATCTCTCTCCCTCCCTTTTTAGCCCCTCCAGGCCCTGGCAGGGCTCTGAGCTCTCCCTGGAGCTTCTCCTCTCCAGGTTGAACATTCCCAGCTCTGCCAGCCTGGCTCCAGCCCTGGATCCTCTGGATGAGGATCCCTCGTGGATCAGTTTTTGGTGGATGTGTGGGAAATGAAAACGTGAATTTAAGGAACACACCCCGAGGGCACCTCCTCTGGTGGAACATTGGCTCTGCTAACAGAAAATTCACAATCCCAGAGTCGCCCCAAAGCCTGTCCCCAAGGACACTTCCAGACACCTCTGGGACACTCCCAGAAACTCCAGCAGACCCTGGGAAACTCATTCCAGAACCTCAACACTCTGGGAGGGAAAAATTCTTTCCAGTCTCTGATGTGAACCTCCCCCATGAGAAAGTCAGGGACTGGGGCAAGGTGGGCACAGCAGGGAAGTGAAGCAGCTTCCAGGAGGCCTCCAAGGGCCTTGTGGAAAACCCCAACACCCAAAAAAGGGCATTTTGCTGGGAAAGAGTGAAAAAAATTCACTGTGACTCAGTGAAGGAGCTCAGCAGAAGTGAGAGGAGGTGAGCACTCCTGCTTTTGTGAACAAGTCCAGACACAGGGAGGGAGGCAGGCAGGGGAAAGAAGAGATTTTCTAAGGGAAGGAAGAAATTTTCCAGGGGATGGAAGAAATTTTCTACGGGAAAGAAGAGGTTTCACAGGGGAAAGAGGAGATTTTCCAGGGAAAAGAAGAGATTTTCCAGGGGAAGGAGGAGATTTCCCAGGGGAAGGAAGAAATTTTCCAGGGGAAGGAAGAAATTTTCTATGGGAAAGAAGAGGTTTCACAGGGGAAGGAGGAGATTTTCCTGGGGAAGGAGGAGATTTTCCAGGGAAAGGAGGAGATTTTCCAGGGAAGGAAGAGATTTTCCAGGGAAAGGAAGAAATTTTCCAGGGAAAGGAAGAAATTTTCCAGGGGAAGGAAGAGATTTTCCAGGGAAAGGAAGAAATTTTCCAGGGGAAGGAAGAGATTTTCCAGGGAAAGGAAGAAATTTTCCAGGGGAAGGAAGAAATTTTCTACGGGAAAGAGGTTTCACAGGGGAAGGAGGAGATTTTCCAGGGGAAGGAGGAGATTTTCCAGGGAAAGGAAGAAATTTTCCAGGGAAAGGAAGAAATTTTCCAGGGGAAGGAAGAGATTTCCCAGGGGAAGGAAGAGATTTCCCAGGGGAAGGAGGAGATTCTCCAGGGAAAAGAAGAGATTTTCCAGGGAAAGGAAGAAATTTTCTACGGGAAAGGAGAGGCTTCACAGGGGAAGGAAGAGATTTTCCAGGGAAAGGAAGAGATTTTCCAGGGGGAGGAAGAGATTTTCCAGGGGAAGGAAGAGATTTCCCAGGGGAAGGAAGAGATTTTCCAGGGGAAGGAGGAGATTTTCCACGGAAAGGAAGAAATTTTCCAGGGAAAGGAAGAAATTTTCCAGGGGAAGGAAGAAATTTTCTATGGGAAAGAAGAGGTTTCACAGGGGAAGGAGGAGATTTTCCAGAGGAAGGAAGAGATTTTCCAGGGGAAGGAGGAGATTTTCCAGGGAAAAGAAGAGATTTTCCAGGGGAAGGAAGAGATTTCCCAGGGGAAGGAAGAAATTTTCCAGGGAAAGGAAGAAATTTTCCAGGGAAAGGAAGAAATTTTCCAGGGGAAGAAAGAAATTTTCCAGGGAAAGGAAGAAATTTTCCAGGGGAAGGAGAGGCTTCACAGGGGAAGGAAGAGATTTTCCAGGGGAAGGAAGAGATTTTCCAGGGAAAGGAAGAAATTTTCCAGGGGAAGGAAGAAATTTTCTACGGGAAAGAAGAGGTTTCACAGGGGAAGGAGAAGATTTTCCAGGGGAAGGAAGAGATTTTCCAGGGAAGGAAGAGATTTTCCAGGGGAAGGAAGAGATTTTCCAGGGAAAGGAAGAAATTTTCCAGGGAAAGGAAGAAATTTTCCAGGGAAAGGAAGAAATTTTCCAGGGGAAGGAAGAGATTTTCCAGGGAAAGGAAGAAATTTTCCAGGGGAAGGAAGAGATTTTCCAGGGAAGGAAGAAATTTTCTACGGGAAAGAGGTTTCACAGGGGAAGGAGGAGATTTTCCAGGGGAAGGAGGAGATTTTCCAGGGGAAGGAGCCAACCCAGCACTGCAGGGATGTGCCAGCCCCAGCTGGGCTGTGGGAAGGTATTTGGGATTATATCCCATTTATACATTCACAGCCTTAATGCCAGCACAAGCTAAAGAGGCTCTAAATGTATCCCCAAAATGCCCCTAAAATGCCAAAGTGCTCCAGATTGTTCAGCTTTCCAGGCAGGAGCTTTCCTGGGTGTGTTTTCGCTCCAGGGATGCAGTGGAATCACTTTTTCAGACACTTTAATATATCTGATTTTTAATTTGCTCTTACCAGGGCAGCAGACAGAGCTCAAAGCCTCAGGTACCAACACAGGTGTGCCAATTATATAAAATAAACAAGTAAATCCTAATAATAAATAAATAAAACCTAATCCATTACAAAGAAATAAATCCTAATAATAAATAAATCAATCAAGCCTAATCAATTATAAATATATAAAACTCAATAATAAAAACCTAATAAATTATAAATAAACAAAGCCTAATAATAAATAAATAAAACCCTAATAAATTACAAATAAAACCCTAACAAATTACAAATAAAACCTAATAAGAAATAAATAAACCCTAATCAAATCTAATAAATAAACAAATAAACCCCAACAATAATTCAGGCCAATCCCAGGCAGAAGTCCTGGGAAAACCAGCCATGGAAAATCCTCCCCAGCTGCTGGAGTCCCTCAGCTCTTTCTAAATAACTCCAGAATTGTTGGCTTTCCCTATTATATACTGGCTCTTGCAAATTCTTATTTATAATAATAATTATATAATTTATAATATATATAAATAAGTATATGGTTATAATATATTACATATTTTATATTATTTAGAATATATAATTATATATTGATATATAGTAATATATTTCTATAATTTATATAATTATATAAGTAATATATTTATACGTAATATAATTTCTATATTACTATAGTATACATATTGTATATTTATTTAAATTATATTATTTATTATATTTATATATACTTATATTATTATATTAATATTTATTTATATTATTTCTATATTAATTACAACTATTTTGGTACAGCACAGTTTGTAACCACTCTGAACTGCTTTAATGTAGTAAATATTTAATTTACAGGGCCAGTGTAATTTATCACCTGGCCCTGTGTAGATCGTATATTTTAGTGTGACAAATATATATATTATGTTTGTATGTGACAAACACGTATTTTATAGTTTAGATGTGGGAACCCTGGCTGCTGAGAATTTCAAACTTTCCGTGCTGACAGACTCTGACCTCCCAAAAAAACCACTGCATTGACCTGAGGCCGTGGAGAAGGCTTCCAAAATTGAAATATAGAATTAAGATTATAAGTGTGTAGTTTAGATAGAAGTGTGTAATATCACACAGGGGAAAACTTAGAGTTTAAAGTTTTACAATATAATAATATATATAAAACAAGAGAGAAGTTTTAGGGCAGAGACTAGTCCTTCTTCACCTTCTCCATGGGTTTGAGTGGTATTTCATTAAATAAAAAAGTAATAAAATAAAATAAATAATTTAATATATTTAAAATTTTAATTAATAAAAATAATTAAATATTTTTTCAAAAGTAATTAAATAAAAAAGTCCACATTGCGGACCACAAGTAGTTAGTTAACAATTAAAATAATTTAATGTCATTTCTTAGTTAGACAGCTTATCCTCAAAAGATCTTATAGGGAGAAAGATACAACTCCATTTTTAGTTTATTAAGATAAAGTACTATAAAACTCACAGTTTATAAAACTATAATAAAAACTAATAAACATCTAAATCTAAACAAAAATACCATCTCATAGATTTAATCCCAACCCTAACAAAAAAAACCCCTAAAACCTCCACATTTAGGCTTTCAGTAAATATTCAAACAGAGACTACATGTTGTGCAGTGTGGTGTTAAATGCTTTTATTTGTGTCACTCACTGACAATGGTGAGAATAACTCAGAGAATTTGGGAAATGGCTAACGCTGTTTTCATGGATTTGTCTGTATAAAATTGTCTTGTCTGTACGAAATAATATTGAAAAGAAATAATATTTAAAAGGAAATAAACAAGAATGCAAGGAAGGATTTAGGACTGACCTTTGGCTATCCAGAACTGTCCAAGCACAGAACAGGGGTCTTGTGGGAACATAAAATAGCTCAATTTCACCTGCAGCACTTTAAAAAGATGGATCAAGAACCAGCAAACTCAAAGGAATGTTTGAATGTGCATAATCTTCATCAACATGCATTTGATCAATGTGCTGAAAAAGTATATATTAAATATATAAAAATATTTTATATATAATATATATTTATATAAAATACAAAATACAAAATATAAAAGATAAAATATAAAACATAATATATAAATAATACATAATATATAATGCATATAAAATATTTATAAAGATAATATATAAATTATTTGGAACTAACTTTTATCCCTCATTAAACTTTAAAAATGTTAAAGAGTGAGCCTTGCTGCTCACAGGCTCAATGCCAGGACACAAAACCTCTGCCCATCACCCTCCCCTCCCTGGGGCTGGGAGCTGATACTGAATTTATCCCACAGAAGTGGTTCTGGTTTCACCAACACCCACTTTGAGGCATTTCCAGGTCATTTCAACACCCCCCAGAGAAATCAGCTTTCCCCAGGGCACCTGACAGGATTCCAGCATTGCCAGCACAAATTCAGTGAGGAGAACACAGAATTATGGAATTGTCCAGGCTGGCAAAGAGCTCCCAGCTCCTCTCCTTGGGAATATCCTGAGCAAGGAAAAGGAAACCACCCCCAGGGCCACATTCCCCAGAAATACCTTTATTGCACTTCCTTTATACTCTGAGATGAACTGTAAATTCTCGTCAAATCATTCTTCCAGTATTTCTGGATACATCTGAAAAATCAGAATGAGGCTGATTTGGGCATTTAGGAACTTAATTTTCCAGTTTAAATATTTGATACACAAACAAACAAATTGTTTTTCTATTGTTGTTATTAAAATATTCGTATTAGATATTTAAATATCCATTGAATCAAGTTTTTCCATCTCACTGTCCTGGTTTTGATGCTTCTGGCCCCACTGGAAAAAGCTGGTATAAGATTTTCTATAAGCACACTTAAGAGCATAAAATACAATAATAATAATAATAATAATAAATATCCATTCATTATGATCAATTTGGTTCTGCGTTCCAGAGGAAAATGAGGATTGCCTGTGAATTATCCTGGCTCTTTCAGGAACATTCACTGGGTGCTTTGCTTAAAACCTGGCAGTGAAATTCTTCCCATGAATTTTGCCCAACTCATGCCATTAATTCAATTTCTATATAATTTATATGGGATATTCCATTCTATCCTTCACATTGGGTTTTTCAGGAAGGACAGCTCCTCATGGGAACATCCCAAGTACCCACAGGGCAGCTTCCATGTCTCTACACCAAAAACACAGAACCAAGAGAGGGACAAGAAGCAAATGTGCAAAATTTATTATGTTCTTCAATGAACACAGCGATAGGAAATTTATAACATTAGGTAATATCTTCAAAATTAAAGAAAAAAATTTATATAAACACCAAGAGTTCCTAGATAGAACAAACAACAGCAGCCCATGGGATGCTCAAACCCAGCTGGCTCCACAGCAGTTTCTTCATAAAAAAATAAGGTACTTAAAAACAAAAGGCTCTGGAAGACAGTGGAGTCAGTGTGGAAAACATGGGATATGAAAACTGAAATGTTTCTGCAGCACATCCTGATTGTCCAAAGAAAAGTCTGCTGGCAAAAGAGGGAAAGCCCTGAGTGCCAAGCTCAGCCCCCTGCTAAAGGCATTTCCTAAATTCCACCGGGGCCCTGCTAATTCCAGAACGAGTTTGGAGAGACTCAAAAACTCATCCCAACCCACCCCTGCCATGGCAGGGACACCTTCCACTGCCCCAGGCTGCTCCAGCCCCAGTGTCCAGCCTGGCCTTGGGCACTGCCAGGGATCCAGGGGAGTGGGATATGGAACAAGCACCAGGAACATTCCCAGCCAAATCCATGAGGAACCCTGTGAGGAACCCTGTGAGGAACCTCCTGAGGAATCCCTGTGAGGAACCCCTGTGAGGAATCCCTGTGAGGAATCCCGTGAGGAATCCCTGTGAGGAATCCCTGTGAGGAACCTCCTGAGGAATCCCCTGAGGAATCCCTGTGAGGAATCCCTGTGAGGAACCTCCTGAGGAACCCCTGTGAGGAATCCCTGTGAGGAATCCCATGAGGAATCCCATGAGGAACCTCCTGAGGAATCCCTGTGAGGAATCCCTGTGAGGAATCTCGTGAGGAACCCTGTGAGGAACCCCCTGAGGAACCCCTGTGAGGAACCCCTGTGAGGAATCCCTGTGAGGAATCCCTGTGAGGAATCCCCTGAGGAATCCCTGTGAGGAATCCCTGTGAGGAATCCCTGTGAGGAATCCTGTGAGGAATCCCTGTGAGGAATCCTGTGAGGAACCTCCTGAGGAATCCCTGTGAGGAACCTCCTGAGGAATCCTGTGAGGAACCCCTGTGAGGAATCCCCTGAGGAATCCCTGTGAGGAATCCCTGTGAGGAACCCCCTGAGGAATCCCTGTGAGGAATCCCTGTGAGGAATCCCTGTGAGGAACCCCCTGAGGAATCCCTGTGAGGAATCCCGTGAGGAACCTCCTGAGGAATCCCTGTGAGGAATCCCTGTGAGGAACCTCCTGAGGAATCCCTGTGAGGAACCCCCTGAGGAATCCCTGTGAGGAACCCCGTGAGGAACCTCCTGAGGAACCCCAACCTCCTCACTGCTGCTCCTCTTGCTCCCCTATCACCTTTAGCTCTGGACCTGCTGAGCCAAGCCCTGCCAGGGGCTGGAAAAGCAGGTGAAAATTCCACAGGTTTGTGTCCAGCATGGATTTCCTTTGGCTGTGTAAACACTGTGGGAGTAACTCCACATGGAGCTCTGCTGGAGCAGGCAGGTTTTGCTCAACTCACAGCTTCAAGTAGAGAAGTGCCCAAAGCTGCTCCTGGTGCAGAGGGACAGCCCTGGGTGGGGTGGGGACATCAGGGTCATTTCCAGCCAGGCCTGAGGAGCTCCCCCAGCAAGGACAGCTCTGGGAACCCAAACCCAGCAATCCCAAAGGTCAGAGTGTCCCCCTGAGGGTCCCAAAGGTCACAGTGTCCCCCTCAGGCTGGGACTTCCATCATAAAGAAATCTGAAGTGCTTGTGAAGTTGACAATCCCATAAAGGAATTCTGATTTCCCAAAGTTACACCATTTCCTTTTCCAGGGTGTCTTTGGATCCTTTGCTCCCAGAAGTGTTGTCGTCGTTGGAATAATTCCCTGAGTCTCGACTGCTCTGTTTGGAATGTTTGTAGTCTGCAAAAACAATCTGATTTCCCTCTTCTGTGACCATGGATTCAATCACACAGCAATTTTCCACGGATTCCTCTGCAGCTGACAGGTAAGGGGTGCTGAAGGGGAGTGCTCCAAATCCCTGAGGACAGAAGCAGAAGGGGAAGAGATGAACATCCATAAATAAAAATTATATACTGATTTACATAAATTCTAATTCTGCTTAAAACCACAGCCACACAAATGTGATTTATCAGATTCTTTACTGCGAAGGTGGGCAGGCCCTGGCACAGGTGCCCAGAGCAGCTGTGGCTGCCCCTGGATCCCTGGCAGTGCCCAGGGCCAGGCTGGACACTGGGGCTGGAGCAGCCTGGGACAGTGGGAGGTGTCCCTGCCATGGCAGGGGTGGCACTGGGTGAGATTTGAGGTCCCTCAAACCCAAACCAGTCTGGGGCTCCATGCTCATGTTGAGCAGCAATGTGTGGTTTCCTACCCCAACACACCACTTACTTCCCTGAGGCCACCAACTCAGATTTAGGATGAAGTTTAGTTCACAGAATCCCCAAATCCCGGGGCTGGAAAAGCCCTCCCAGCCCAGGGAGTCCCAGCTGTGCCCATGCCCACCTTGTCCCCAGCCCAGAGCACTCAGTGCCACCTCCAGGGGACACCTGCAGGGATGGGCACTCCAAAGCTCCCTGGGCAGCCCCTGCCAGGGCTGAGCTCCCTTTCCATGGGGAAATTGCTGCTGCTGTCCCAGCTGAGCCTGCCCTGGCCCAGCCTGAGGCCGTTCCCTCTCCTCCTGTCCCTGTTCTTGGGACAGATCCCAGCTCCCACCTCCCAGCTGCATTCACAGAATCCAACACTAAAGGGTGACTCCAACATTTTATCTCAGCCCTTTTCCTGCTCTCATCACCACTGTAACATTTCACGGGTTAGAGCCTGAGGTGGCCACACAAGAATGGAAAGAAAATCCAGGTATAGAGGTTTCAATACACACTTGAGTGTTGCCCTTCCATTCCAGAACAGGATCCCTGCTAAGCAGCACCTGTGCCAAGCTGAGACTGACAAAGCTCTGGAGACCACTGATAAAACCTCTAAAATGAACCCTGGCTGACCGTAACAGATAAACATATTTTTTCCATGATATTTAAAGTTCATTATCCTACAAAGAAGCTGTGTGATGACTGAGAAGTCAGAGCTCACCTCGATGTTCATGGGGGGCTGGCAGGAGGGGAAGAACACATATTTGATTTTGTTGTAGGCTTGGTAGAGCAATAAAACAAGAGGAGTGGCCACCAGCAGGACAAACAGCAGGGCACCCGTGAAAACCCCAAAAATGATCAGAGGTAAAGATGTACCTAAAATTGGGAACAAAAACAATTCAGTCGAGGTATTCAGAACCAGGAGAAATTAAAAGCACCTCTCCAAATGTGCTGCAGAATTTATCAAATAATTCAACCTTTCCACATCATGGGAACATTTCACATTACAACAGCCATGGGCATCAGGGAAAAGTGATGCTGTGCCAGTATCTGAGATAATTTTGCTTAAAGAAGCCACAAAATATCTCCCAATACAAGGACAGAGAATCACCAAGGTGGGAAGAGACCTCTAAGATGCTCCAGTCCCTCCATCACCCCCACACCAGCAGCTGCAGGGCTCACCTGGAGAGGAGAAGCTCCAGGCAGAGCTCAGAGCCCTGCCAGGGCCTGAAGGGGCTCCAGGAGAGCTGCAGAGGGACTGGGGACAGGGATGGAGGGACAGGAGCCAGGGAATGGCTCCCACTGCCAGAGGGCAGGGCTGGGTGGGAGATTGGGAATTGGGAATTGTTCCCTGGCAGGGTGGGCAGGGCTGGGATGGAATTCCCAGATTCCCCTGGATCCCTGGCAGTGCCCAAGGCCAGGCTGGACACTGGGGCTGGAGCAGCCTGGGGCAGTGGGAGGTGTCCCCATGGCAGGGGTGGGATGGGATGATCCTCAAGGTCCTTCCCAGCCAAACCATTCCATGATTCAATTATTATCTCAATAAACTGGAAGGAGTTTGCTGATACCAAAATTAACAGGCACCAGCAGCCACTTTCTAAGTAATCCAAATAACATAATCAGGTCTTACTTTATGATCAAAGAATGGAAGATTTTCACTCTGGTGTATAAAAATACGGGAAAGACAGAGCATGGTCTGCCTTGAAGGCACTGCTTGGATTTAAAGAGATTCATTGAAATAGCAGGATAAGGGGAAGAGTAATACCTAGGAAAACAGATTTAAATATTTATCTTTACCCCATTCAGGTAAAAAGTAGCATTTGGTTCTTTTTAGGTTTGATAAGACACAGCAGTGAGGACCACAATATAAATAAATTCTGAATGTGAGCCAGGCATTACTGTTATTACATTTTCTTGGCTTTAAGGCAGATTGAAGAGTCAGAAATTTTCACAATGTTCACAGAATTTTATGTGGCTAATTATCTTCACCATGATTTGATCTTTTCTGGTGCCACTCTCCCCTGGCACCAAGATGAGCTTCCAGCCCTAACAAATGTGATTTATCTCCTCACTCTTTGGCAGGAGATTCGGCACAGGAGATTCATTCCCAGAAGGACTAAGTTCCAAGGATAAAACACCCTGCTAATGTGCAATTTTGTGATTCCTTGCTCCCTCCCAAGATGTAGGGCTGGGAAGTGAAGCTCTCTGCCCTGCCAGCTGCTCCCAGTGCTGGCAGGAGTTTTGAGCTCCCAGTGAAGGGGGAACAATTCCAGCTGCAGAGGGGGAGTTGCTGCCAGGCTGTGCCCACCTGCAGGGGTGTGGATGCATTCCTGATTGCTGTAGGCACTGCTTTTGTTGTAGGGCTCAGAGAAGGCCTGGACTTTGACACAGTACAGGGTGGAGGGGGACACATCAGACACTGTGGCTATGGTCTGCTTCACCTCCTTCTGCTTCGCCTCCTCCTGGCAAAGGCAAAAAAAGGGAAAAAGGAGGGATCAGATGCCATGGGCAGCACAGAAATCTCAAACAGGTGAGTGAGAGCTGCGGCCTCTGATGGACAAGTGATTCTGTGAAATGTCAGACATTGCTGCAACCCCAGAATCTGCAGGGCTGGAGAGACTTTCCAGCTCATCCAGCCCCACATCCAGATACCTCTGGAACATTTCCAGGAACTCCACCACCTCCCTGGGCACCCAGATTCAATAAAATAAATAAACCACCCCCTTAGCTCCTAAGCAAAACCCCCAGCAAACACTTCCTGGGCAAGAACCAAGTGCTTCCCCCATTCTGAAATGTCACAATTCCAAGTTTCCAGGAAATTCCTTCCTGCTGCAGTTTACTTCCTTCTCTTCTGCCCCCCTCTTACCAATTACTGTGAAATATTTTACCCTAAGACGTGTTTAAAGAACATGGAAAGAGCCATTAAAATGTGAGCTAAAAGGATACAGGACTTCAGTGTTTGAGGAGCTTTTTCCATCACATTGCACACAGCCACATACATGGAAATGGAGGTTTTACCCCATCACTGGGAGATAAAAGTCACAGTGATCAGGTTTTTGATAGAATCTTTCATTAAAAAACCCAATAAACTGACTTTTTAAAGACTGATATACCGCAAATGTGCCTCTTTTGGAAAGGAGCTCCTCAGGGAGAACAGAAGCTCAGGATTTAAGTCAGAATCAATTTTATATTGTATGTAATTAGTTCACACCTCCATATCTGAGGAATTCTTCCAGTACAGGATCCTGTAGGACAAGTGATAATGGTCCCTCATGACTTCCTCCTCAGCTCCTCCTGGAGGAGAAATAATGATGTGGAGCAAAGAGTCACTGAGGTCCAGCCTTACACCAGGAGGCCCAATTTCATCTGAAAACAATAAAATAAATAATTAAAATCCCACTAAAAATATTGCTTCAAAGACTGTCAGTGAAATCCAGGATAACTTTGAAGAACACACAGTTAGAAGTATAATTTCATAGCTTTGTTCAGAATATCAAGTCCTGAGAGACACTTCAATTAATTTCACTCTGTTCTTGTGAAATCCCCTCTCCAGGCTCCTGTCAGCTCATGAAGGCATTTGGCACCAGTTTGCTGAGCAATGAGCATTTCAGGAAACCATTTCCTTACTTGTTTTCAGAGGATCCACTTTGACTTCCCTGGAGAAGCAGGATTTGTTGTGCCCCTCCCTGGCCTGCACCCGCAGGTAAAAAAATCCAGTGGTGGTGATGACAGAGGACAAGTTGCACGAGGTGCTGGTGATGTTCTCACACCTGGGGACACTGAGCCACTTGTCTGAGTAATCATCATTGAGCTTCTTCCAGAACCCACTGCAAGAGAGAATTCAAGAGTTTTCATGTCAGCTCACTCAAATCTCAAGAAATTCATATTTGTTTGTACTGCACTTGGCTCAGTTTTGGGCAAAAAGGCCTCTAGTAATTAAAAAAAAAACAACCCCAGCATGTTAATATGAGACATTTCTGAGTGGAAGAATGAAGATAAAAGGGCCAGGAAATACAAATCAGGGCTTTAACCAAGCCTCAGCAGAGAAATGAAATGCGGGGTGGACAGGTTCTGAAAATCCAAATGAGAAGTTCTCACGTAGCTCTGTGCAGTCCATTGTTTTCCTGCCATGCCAAAGAATTCCCAAGGAATGCCAGGGGATCCCTCCTCTTCTGTTAGGTGCTGGCCACAGTATTTATGCAACAGCTGGAGATTGAGATACAGGTTTATAGAGCTGCTTCTTAGATTTCATGGATGCGATTCGATGGGTTTTTATGGGATATGATGGGGAGGGTTTATGGCATTCCTTGTTTTTTGATGCAATATGATTTTTGCCTGGTTTTCTTTATGTGATACAGTGTTTTAGTGTGTGATATGATGGGGTTTGATGTGACACAAGGGTTATTTCACGTGACGGGAGGGGACTTTTATAGGACTTGATGGGTTTATGTGACACAAGATTTCTCTTAAAATGACACAACATTTCTTTTATGTGACACAGCATTTCTTTTAATGTGACACTATGTGCTACCTTGTATTTTCTCCCCTATTTGGGTCTGCCCAGAACAAATCCAAGCTGCTGACAACTGAAACCTCCAACACCTGTATTTTTGCTCACTTTTACTCATCTCATTTCTTCACATTTAAAAAGCCACTAAGCAATTCAAGTTTCCCAGCTTTAAAAATGTCCCTCAGCATTTAGGAGCCCCTTCCATCAGGAGTTTAACACCCCCAAAAGCAGCCCAGTCCCCTGAAATTCCAGGCTGAGGTGTTCCATGGAATTCTTTCAACGAGCTGTTCACGTTCCCATTAGCACAGGAAGCCAGCAAATATTTCATTTTCAGCTCTAGGAAACACTTGCACAACACAACAAAGGGCGTTTCCAATGGCAGGGGTGGAATGGATGAACTCACAGCAGGTACTGCACGTTGTAGTTCACACCCTGATTTTCCTGGGCATCCCAAAGCAGGTGGAATTTCATGTTCAAAGCCTGGACACTCACGTTGGTTGCACACAGGAGGTCGTTCACTGCTCAGGGGGAGAAGGAAACCCAAAGTTACAAAAAAACTTCATGTTATGGACAGGGAATGGATATTTCCCATGTCAATAATGAAAACATAAAGATTATTCATTATACAGATTGTAAGTCACAGGCTGTGATATGTAAAGCAACTTATCAAGCCTTTGATTAAAAAAACAGCTAAAAATCAATTCAGAAAAAAATTAAAGTACACAAATATTGAGAGGAACAGAAATAAACTGGTTTGGGAATAACATGAGGAGAAAAATGTATAAACTACACATCTGTATTTATTGTACATTTTGATTTTTTGTTTTAATAAAATATGAATGCAACAATTACTTAATATTTTGATAAAATACTTAAAACTTGCATGTATCAGTTATTGCAATATTTTATTAAGCTACACATGTATTATTTTAATATTATTTTAATAGTATTAAAAAAATACATGTGTATTTTAAAAATATTTTTAAAGACACAGATGTGTATTAATGTACTTTGTGTATAAAGAAATTTTAATTTACTATCAGTTACTTACATTTTGATGTACCATCAACTAAATATAATGTACCACCCCTGTCCAATCTAATATTTGACTTTCTGCAGTTATTTTTTCCTAAAATAAGCATCTAAAAGCAACAGCACAGCACAGAAAAGAATTTAATTTTACATAACAAGATGGAAAGCTGCCCCCTCAAAGGCTTTCTTCACCAGCTGTAAAAATCAATTCACCAAGGATTATATAAAACCAGCATTTTTTTAAGCTCAGCTCAACTTTCTGTGCATTCATTGAGTGCCAAATATCCCAGAGGCTTTTGGTTTTTTTACCTCCCGATTCAGCCACTGATTGAAAAATAAGAGTTTTCCAAAGCACACAAAGAAGCTTTTGTTCCAAATTAATGCCAAAATTCACCTCATGGCAAAAACATTTCTGTACTATTAAAACTCTACCCTTGGCATATTTTATGTTGATTGAGAAGGGTAAATGCATATAATACATACATACATACATATATATATGTATATGTATATGTATATGTATATATATATGATATATATGGGAGATATGTATATACACATATATATATATGTGTGTATATATATGTATATGGACATATACATATGTATATCTCCCATTTATATATTTATTTTTTTTAATACCAAAATGAGGAGGAATTTGGCCCTTCTGACTACTTCTGTTGCTTCAGAGCAACTGACAGTGTGGCAGTCTAAGAGAAGTCATCACTGGCAGATGAGCTGATTTCCTGGGTACCTTTCTGGCTGGTTTTCACACAGCTGACGGGGCTGAACAAGCCCTGCTTTCCCTCACTGGGGAGATTTGCTTGGACCTTGAAGCAATAGGTGCTGTCTGGGGCAAGGTCATCAACGGTGTCAACAGGGAAAATGGTTTTACTCTGGAGCTGGAAGAAACAAACACAAAGAGCTGTGAGGGGAACTGTGCTTCCCCAGGGCCATCTTTAAATGATCATTTTGCAGGGTTTCAGCCCATTTGTATCATGGTAAAACAGAGAAAGTAGGACAGAGTTTGAGCTGGAGAAATCCCACAGGGAAGTTTGCAGTTTAGCCAGTGACTGACAGGCAGGAACATTTTGGGCTCCTTTGCCATGGAAGTGGGGAGGGATTGGGCATGCCCAGGAATCACCCCACAGGCATTCCAGGACGGAGCAGGACATTCCCATCCTTCCACCACCCAAACACCCCTCTCTCCTCTGCTTTTGGTCTCCCAGACTTGGTGGTGACTGACCATACACAATTGTACTTCTGGGCCTTGTGCTCCTTTGGTGTGTAACCCCAAAATCCCAGAGGGGGGAAGAGCCCTCCAGGATCATCCAGTGCCACCAGCATCACCCAAAGCATGTCCCCAAGGCCACATCCAGACTCCTCTGGGACAATTCCAGTGACTCCAAACCTCCCTGAGCAGCCCATCCCAAGGCCTGGCCACTCTGTGAGGGCAATTTAATTCTGTCTTTAATCTGATCCTCCCCTGATGCACCTTGAGGCCATTCCCTCTTGTCCTTTCCTCATTCCTGTGTTTCCCCCTGTGTCCCCTCCTGGCAGGGGCTGTGCAGAGCCACAAGGTCCCCCTGAGCCTCTTTTTCCCCAGGCTCAGCCCCTTTCCAGCTCCCTCAGGGATTCTCCAGCCCCTTCCCAGCTCCCTCAGGAATTCTCCAGCCCCTTTCCACCCCTGGACACACTCCAGCCCTTCAAGGTCCTTTCTGAAGTGATGATTTTGATCGGATCTCCCAAAAGAACACAGATTGCCCTTTGACCCCTGCCCTAATTTAGATGACTCTCACTTCCCTAAAAATGATAAAAAAGGAAGAGTTTCTCCCCTGCTCTTCACAGGAGAGCTCTGGGTGCTCTGCAGGACACACACGCTGCCTTGGAAACCAGTTCACAATGGCAACACCTCAAAATAGTCCCTGGATCAGGGCAATCCAAATAAAACAATCCTATGGTAAGAACAAAATCATCCCACCAAGAAAAACCACCTCTCTCAACTTACAAACCACACAGGAGCAGTTACACAGTGGCAGAACCAAACAATTCCATTTCAGAGCAAGAATTAAAGTCCATCTCTGACAGTTCTGGTAAGGTAAGTAACAAAAAAAGAAGTGCTCATACCTGAGCATGTGATGAGTTTTCCCAGAAGACCAGGTTATATTTAAAACTCAGATCATTGATCCACATTTTTGTCTTCTGATTTGCTTCTGGAGGAGAAACCATAACTTTTACGACTCCATTTGTGGATTGCAATTCCAGTCCTGGTGGACCAATCTGAGCTGCAAATATGGAAAGAAAAAAGAAGTTAAACATGTCTACTTGGAGAAAATAGACCCCAAAAGCAGTATACAATAACAAACCTGAAGTACCTGCCTGTGGTTTCTTACTTTTAATTCTTGTGAATAATCACCCACAGGATCTTAAGTTTTCATGACTCAGGCGGTTTCTAAAAGAAATTTAACCTAACAACCAACTACCATCACCTGGTTCTAAAAACAGTTAAAATGATATATTACTAGTAAATGTAAAAAAAAAAAAAAAAAAAGTATAAATTATTCTAAAACCTGCAAGGCAAGAGACTTAGCTCAGTTCAATAAATCCAGCATCAAAGGAGGGCTTCAGTATCACTGGAACGGCTGAAAAGCCACAAACATCCCAAAACCAGGGTTCTTGGAGGAACCTGGCTTATTGAAGGTGTCCCTGCCCGATGGGATGGGTTTTAAGGTCCCTCCCAATACAGACCAGTCCGGGATTCTACAAAAACCTACTGTCAAAAAGGATTTTTCCAAGAAATAATCTGGGAAAATACAGAGTGACAGGAAATTCAATCAGGAAACCAGCACAACTTGGAATAGTTTTCCCTTTTCAGAAAAGACAGAACTGCATGCCATGACCTGCAGATGCCTGGTCATGTGTCCCTCTTGGGAAATTCACCATCCTGCTGTTACCAGCAGTGGAAACCACACGTGGTTTTTCCACACTCCCTCATTCCAGACTGCTTTGGGTTGGGAAGGACCTTAAACCTCATCCCACCCCACCCCTGCCATGGGGACACCTCCCACTGCCCCAGGCTGCTCCAGCCCCAGTGTCCAGCCTGGCCTTGGGGACTGCCAGGGATCCAGGGGAATCTGGGAATTCCATCCCAGCCCTGCCCACCCTGCCAGGGAACAATTCCCAATTCCCAATCTCCCACCCAGCCCTGCCCTCTGGCAGTGGGAGCCATTCCCTGGCTCCTGTCCCTCCATCCTTGTCCCCAGTCTCTCTGCAGCTCTCCTGGAGCCCCTTCAGGCCCTGGCAGGGCTCTGAGCTCTGCCTGGAGCTTCTCCTCTCCAGGTTGAACATTCCCAGCTCTGCCAGCCTGGCTCCAGCCCTGGGGCTCCTCCGGGCTCTCTCCAGCAGCTCCAGGCGCTCCTGCTGCTCAGGGCTGGAGGCTCTGCAGGTGTGGTCCCACCTGAGCAGGGCAGGGGAGGTGCTGAAGGAAGCCAAGTGTCCCCAGCCCCCCGGGCTCGTACCGACGTGTTCGGGCACCATCTCCAGGACCTCGGACCACGGGGACAGCAGGGGCCCCGCCTGGGCCCTCACGCGCACGTAGTGGTAATCGTAGTACTCGGAGATGGCCGAGGAGATGTCACAGCCTGTGCCAGCCACAGCCTGGCACCCCGGCAGCTCCTGCCAGCCCGTCTCCTTCAGCTCCGGCCTGCGGGACAGAGAACAGCCGGGGAGAGACAGCCTGGGATGAACAACAGCCCGGGATAAACGACAGCCCTGGGATAAACGACAGCCCAGGATAAACGACAGCCCCGGGATAAACCACAGCCCCGGGATAAACCACAGCCCCAGGATAAACCACAGCCCCGGGATAAACCACAGCCCCGGGATAAACCACAGCCCCGGGATAAACAGCCTAGATTAAACAACACCCCGGGATAAACAACAGCCTGGGATAAACAACACCCCGGGATAAACAACAGCCCGGGATAAATGACAGCCCCGGGATAAACCACAGCCCCGGGATAAACCACAGCCTCAGGATAAATGACAGCCCCAGGATAAACGACAGCCTCAGGATAAATGACAGCCCCAGGATAAACGACAGCCTCGGGATAAATGACAGCCCCGGGATAAACCACAGTCCCGACAGCCCCGGGATAAACAGCCTAGATTAAACAACACCCCGGGATAAACAACAGCCTGGGATAAATGACAGCCCTGGGATAAACAGCCTAGATTAAACAACACCCTCGGGATAAACCACAGCCCCGGGATAAACCACAGCCCCGGGATAAACCACAGCCCCGGGATAAACCACAGCCCCATCAGCCCCAGGATAAACAGCCTAGATTAAACAACACCCCAGGATAAACAACACCCTCGGGATAAACAACCTAGGTTAAACAACACCCCCAGGACAAACAACACCCCCAGGACAAACAGCCTAGATTAAACAACACCCCCAGGACAAACAACACCCCCAGGACAAACAGCCTAGATTAAACAACACCCCAGGATAAACAACAGCCCCGGGACAGACAACACCCCGTGAGAAACAAGGCTGACTCTTTACAACGTGCAGAAGTTTAATAGGGGATAGAAGGGACAGTGCCCAACACTGGGGTGCCTGGCAACCTGCCAGAGGCACACCTTCACTGCAAGCACTCTCAGCTGCTCTCTCATTGCATTTCTCAGATGCATATTCATGAAGCTTATACATATTCAATGTTTCCTTCAGTTTACATGCTCCAGGCATTTTATATTTATATTATTTTATAAAAATAACATATTTATATTATTTATATGTTACATAAATTTATATTCAATGTTCCCTTGAGTTTACATGCTCCAGGAATTCTTTATCTTAGTTTGTCCCTGGCCTCATCTTAGAACACAATGCAGGTGAGATTTTGAGAGTATTTTACTTCCTCACAGATGGGATTTTGAGAGTTTTGTATTTTACTTCCTCACAGATGGGATTTTGAGAGTTTTGTATTTTATTTCCTCACAGATGGGATTTTGAGAGTTTTGTATTTTACTTCCTCACAGATGGGATTTTGAGAGTTTTGTATTTTATTTCCTCACAGAGGCCCCCTGGTCTGTGGTTTGACAGTTATTGATAGCCCAAGGGGCAGTGGCAGATTTTTCTTTGGTGCTATTTGTTCTTTTCCATGTTTTCTTATCATACAGACATTCCAGCCATTTTTACAAGTACTTTCAATCAATATTAGCTATTTCACTATTGAATAGATATTGAGTAGATATTTCACTATTTGAATAGATATTTCACTACTATCAGTTAGTTACAAAAATAAAGGCATTAGCTATTATTTCAGAATGACAATTATTATTGTTTTATTAATTTAATTTTGAATTTTAATAGTATTAATTATTATTAATATTAATTAATATATGAATACATATTAATTATTACTACGTTGTTCTATTCATCATCATTATTATTATTTCACAACTATAATTACTTCTGCAAAAGTTAATGTTATAATACACAGTAGATAATCTTTTGCAGAAGCCTAAACTATAATATATATTTATCACACTAAAATATACAATCCACACAGGGATTAGAGTATTAACTATAAAAGGCTGAGAAATTATACTATATCAAAAGCAGTTAAAAGGAGATTACCAACTGTACTATATCAAAGTAATTTACAAAAGCCAATAATAGCAAAATACAATAATGACATACTTATTTATAACACACCTCCGGGATAAATAGTCTGGGATAAATCCAACCCACAACCACTGAAATTATTCTTATTTTCTTCTTAACTTTAATAAACATCACCCTTTTCATGCTGCTTTATCATCGGTACAATCAGTGTTATCTCCTGTAAATTATCCTACAACTGCCAGAAGACAGAATTACATCCTCAGGATTATTGTATTTCCTAGCCTGGCAAAGGTTTCATAATTCATGGGAAGAAATTTTAAAGTCCTGACAAAAGTGGTTAAAGGAGCATAAAACCAGCAGAACTCCACTAATTATAACATGAGCCAGGAATGGAAATTAAGGGAAAACAAAAACACAGAGGTGAAAAGTGGAGTTCAGCAATAATCAGGTTTTCAGCAGCTCTTTTTAAATCAACACACATCCACACCTCAGTAAAGAAAGAGATTTATAGAGACATTTAAAATGTCCTGGCCAAAAAAAGGAGGCACAGACCTAAAGCAGCAATTGTTTACCTCAATTCCTAGAGATATTTAAAATGTCCTGGCCAAAAAGAGGAGGCACAGACCTAACGCAGCAATTGTTTACCCTCAACTCCTACCTTGTCTTTCACACCAGACTGACATTTTAAAAAATAAATCTATTTTCAAAGCAGCTGTTCTTATCTACGTATTGGAAAATAGGAACTGGGTTTTTTAAAATCCCAAATCCCAGAACGGTTTGGGTTGGAAGGGACCTTAAAGCCCATCCTGTTCCACCCCTGCCATGAGCAGGGAACCTTCCACAATCCCAGGTTGCTCAGAATTTCAGTAATTTTGTCTCAGAAATGTTTTTCAACCTTTACTTGTCAGGAAAGTGCCACAGAATGTCTGTGCTAATGTGTGCAAAAGAATTGGGATATGGAACAACTGAAGGAAACCAAGGAACTATTTAAGAACAAACCTTAAATTGTTTCATCTGGGCATTAAACTTGCAACTGAGAAAAGTGAGTTAATGAACAGTGAGAAATTACTTGAAAATTACACTGAAAATTCCCTCAGATCCTCTGTGTGTGGCCACAGCTAGAGAAATCAAACAAGGCAGAGACAAAATAAACCTAAATTCCACTTCTGAGTGTGCCAAGAAACTTCTGCAAGAGCCCTGCTGGTGGTTCAGTGTCTTATTTCTCTTGGGGTTCCTACGGGTCAGGGTGAGCCCGAGATAATACAAAGTCTTTGCTCCCTAGGCCCACTCAGCCAAAGAAGAAGCCCAGAATGGTTCTGATTGTGTTTTCAAGGTGGTTTATTTCTTCTTATCTAAACATTCTTTCTCTGACCTGCCCAGCTCTGACTAGCAAGGAGGCCGTGGCCATCTGCCCCTGAGCCTCGGGTGGCTCCCACCTTATACACTCAAAACTTTGTGTGTATATTTACAATTTATTACCAATTCCCATCATTTATGTTGGACAGCGTGTCCCTATCCTAAACCAATAGGAAAGTGTCACCATCACAGCAAGGACAAGAAGAAGGAGAAGCAGGTCAGACATGCCCAAATCCTTCCATCTTGACTCCATTCTAAAAACCCCAAATTCTACTTTTCCACCCTGTGTTAGTTCCAATATCCCATTCCTCAAACCCGTGTGGCTGGTAACTCCTCACAGGCCAGGATGGAAGGATGGGTGTTTTTGAGTTCACCAGGTCTGGAGGCAGCCGGAGGGGCGTCCCTGAGCCCGTGTGCCCCGGAGCAGCAGGACACTCACCACTGGAACTGCGCTGAGAAGGTGACGCCGCGGGCGCTGCCCCCGTGCTCCCAGCTCAGGGAGAAGTTGGTGTTCACCGCCTGCACCCGCAGCCGCGCCGGGCTGGGCAGGCGGCTCTGGCCTGATAACAAGCAAAGAAAATATCAGGAGAAAAGGAAAATAAAGTAAAGTATTACGATAAAGAGCAAAGAAAATATCAGGATTAAAAGAAAATAAAATATAATGATAAAAGGCAAATAAAATATTAGGATAAAATTGAAATAAAATGTTAAAATAATGTATTACAACAAAAAGCAAAAAAAATTATTAGGATAAAATGGAAATAAAATGTTGAAATAATGTATTACAGCAAAAGGCAAAAAAAATTATTAGGATGAAATGAAAATGAAATTTAAAAATAAAATAAAATAAATAAAGTATGATAAACGGCAAATAAAATAATAGAATGAAATGAAATAAAGTATTATGATAAAAGGCAAATAAAATATTAGAATGAAATGAAAATAAAATAAAGTATTATGATAATAAAATAAAGTATTATGATAAACGGCAAATAAAATGTTAGAATGAAATGAATATAAAATAAAGTATTATGATAAATGGCAAATAAAATGTTAGAATGAAATGAAAATAAAATAAAGTATTATGATAAATGGCAAATAAAATATTAGAATGAAATGAAAATAAATAAAGTATTATGATAAAAGGCAAATAAAATATTAGAATGAAATGAAAATAAATAAAGTATTATGATAAATGGCAAATAAAATATTAGAATGAAATGAAAATAAAATAAAGTATTATGATAAAAGGCAAATAAAATATTAGAATGAAATGAAAATAAAGTATTATGATAAATGACAAATAAAATATTAGAATGAAATGAAAATAAAGTATTATGATAAAAGGCAAATAAAATATTAGAATGAAATGAAAATAAAGTATTATGATAAATGGCAAATAAAATATTAGAATGAAATGAAAATAAATAAAGTGTTATGATAAAAGGCAAATAAAATATTAGAATGAAATGAAAATAAATAAAGTATTATGATAAATGGCAAATAAAATATTAGAATAAAATGAAAATAAAATAAAGTATTATGATAAATGGCAAATAAAATATTAGGATAAAATAAAAATAAAATAAAGTATTATAATAAAAAGCAAAGAAAATATTAGGATAAAATAAAAATCAAATGAAGTATTATAATAAAAAGCAAAGAAAATATTAGGGTAAAATAAACATAAAATATTACAATTTAAAAGAATAGGAAATATTACGATAAAATGTTAAAGTATTACAATAAAAACCAAAGGAAATATTAGGATGAAATTAAAATAAAATGCTAAAATAAAATAAAGTATTATGATAAAAAGCAAAGAAAATATTAGGATAAAATGAAAACAAAATATTACAATAAAAAAAGGAAATATTAAGATAAAATTAAAATAAAATGTTAAAATAAAATAAAGTATTACAATAAAAGGCAAAAAATATTAGGATAAAATGAAGACAAGATATTACAATAAAAAGCAAAGAAAAATATTAGCATAAAATAAAGATAAAATATTACAACAAAAAGCAAATAAAATATGATAAAATGAAGAAAAAATATTACAATAAAAAGAAAAGCAAATATTAAGATAAAATAAAAGTAAACTATTACAATAAATTTTCACGTATTTCCCTATTTCCAATGAGTTTTGTGCTTGCCTCCCTAAATTAATTCCACAAATCATCCATTTCCCAATGAACAGCTATGCAGGAAGGAAGGAGCAAACTCAGCCAGCGGCATTCGGCATTTAATCAGCAGAGAAACTTTGTGATTCAGGTAGTAACTTGATATGCAAAAAAAAAAAAAAAAACCCTAAAAAACAACATTTCTTCCTGGCTTATTTTATTAATTATTAAAAGCCAGACATTTAAAACTAATTCCTGTTTGTCCACTTAAGCATGATGACACTTTGGTTCTGAGAAACCATTATAAGGGATTAGGTTTCTGTGGAAATAGGAGATTAAAAACCAGAAATGCTTTTAGCACATCTGCCTATTTCCTTCCCCTGCCAAATTCCGATAAACTAAACCAACCCAATCTGTTCTAATACAGAAAAATTACTGCTTCACTCGGGAGATGTTCAGCAATATTGTCAGTAAACAATGGTTGAAAATAAAAATGATTCTGTAATAAAATCTATTCAGCAACAGAAGAAAGCAAGGAATGGCAACACAGCAAACTTCACTGTTGGGGGAAATCCCAGGAAGAGCACATGATGCTCGATGCTTACAACATCCCTGGGTGCTGGAGCCAGTGGAAAATTTCAGTCAATATTTCAGCAGAAGGAGGAAGAGGAGGCCCCTCACATGTGACACGAGAAAAAGCTCTGAACGACCTTGATATGCAAAGAAAACCCAGAGCCAGAGCTTTACCCTGGAGCAGCAGCACAGGGAACAGCTGGGCTGGGCACAGGGGAAAGGAGAGGTCATTGAAGCAGAGCTATTGGAATTCCAGAGTTAGGATCACCCACTGGTTGGGATCTCAGAGCACACCCAGCCCCAGGCTGCTCCAGCCCCAGTGTCCTGCCTGGCCCTGGGCACTGCCAGGGATCCAGGGGCAGCCACAGCTGCTCTGGGAATTCCATCCCAGCCCCTCCCAGCCTGCCAGGGAACAATTCCTAATTCCCAAAATCCCAGCCAGCCCTGCCCTCAGGCAGTCTAAAAGCACTGTCCCTGGTCCTGTCACTCCCTGCCTGTATAAACAGTCTCTCTGCCCTCCCTTGTAATGCTCCACAATCCTTCCTCTTCCAGCAACAGATTTTGGGCAATAGTTGCTTTTTGCTGTGTAAGGAAAAAAGACAGGTCAGAAGCTCCTGCCCTGCGAGCCAAAACCCCCATCCTGCCATTCTACCTCTCATGTCGTCATTTATCCTTTATGCTCTGCCAGACTGTGACTTCCAAGCCAAAGAACGGGAATCCAGAGGTGTTTTTCCCACGCCGCGGCTGCAGCCGCTGCAATTCACCGGGAACGGGTGGGGCGGGCATGGGGGAGAAGGACAATCCACAGGGACACGGGGGACAGACACAGGGAATGGCTCCCACTGCCAGAGGGCAGGGCTGGGTGGGAGATTGGGAATTGGGAATTGTTCCCTGGCAGGGTGGGCAGGGCTGGGATGGAATTCCCAGATTCCCCTGGATCCCTGGCAGTGCCCAAGGCCAGGTTGGACACTGGGGCTGGAGCAGCCTGAGACAGTGGGAGCTGTCCCTGCCATGGCAGGGGAGGCACTGGGTGGGATTTGGGGTCCCTCCAGCCCAAACCCCGCTGTGATTCCATGGCAGCCCTGCCAACACAACACATCCTCACCGACACCGTTATCCCGGCCCGCATCCCCGCAGAGCTCCGGGAGCGCAGCGGGATCTGCTCTCCCCTCTCCCGGGGAGGGAGCCCCGCTCCGGCCCCGCTCTCCCCTCTCCCGGGGAAGGAGCCCCGCTCCGGCCCCGCTCCCTGAGGGCTCCCGGACCCACCTGCGCAGGGCAGCGGGACCAGGAGCAGCGGCAGCACCAGCCAGAGCCCGCCCGGCACCCGCAGCCGCCGCCGCTCCGCCGTCCATCTGCCTCTCGGCCCCTCCGGCTCCTCTGTGCATCCATCCCCGGGCTCCTCCGTCCGTCCCTGCCCGGGCTCCGCCGCCGTTCCAGCCCCCGGCTCCGCCATCCAGGGCAGCGCTGCCGGAAGCGACGGCGGCGGCGCCTGCGCGGAGCGGCCCGGGCGCTCTGAGGGGCGGTCGGGGCTGCGTGAGGGCGATGTGAGGGTGAGGGTTGTGAGGGCGATTGAGGGCGATGTGAGGCGGTGTCGGAGCTGTGTGGGGACGCTCAGGGCTGCGTGAGGGCTGTGAGGGCGGTGTGAGGCGGTGTCGGAGCTGTGTGAGGGCAGTGTGAGGGCTGTGAGGGCAGTATGAAGGCGGTGTCAGAGCTGAGGGCGATCAGGGCTGCGTGAGGGCGATGTGAGTGTTGTGAGGGCGATGTGAGGGTTGTGAGGCGGTGTCGGAGCTGTGTGGGGGCTGTGAAGGCAGTGTGAGGGGATGTCGGGGCTGTGTGAGGGCGGTATCGGAGCTGTGTGAGGGCTGTGAAGGTGGTGTCAGAGCTGAGGGCGATCAGGGCTGCGTGAGGGCGATATGAGGGTTGTGAGGGCGCTGTGAGGCGGTGTCAGAGCTGTGTGGGGGCTGTGAGGCCGCTGTGAGGGGATGTCGGGGCTGTGTGGGGGCTGTGAGGACAGTGTGAAGGGGTGTCGGGGCTGTGTGAAGGCGGTCAGGGCTGTATGAAGGCTGTGAGGGCGGTGTCAGAGCTGAGGGCGATCAGGGCTGCGTGAGGGCGATGTGAGGATTGTGAGGGCTGTGAGGGCGATGTGAGGGGGTGTCGGGGCTGTGTGAAGGCGCTCAGGGCTGTGTGAGGGCTGCGAGGGCGGTGTGAGGGGATGTCGGGGCTGCGTGAGGACTCTGAGGGCGGTGTCGGGGCTGTGTGAGGGCGCTGTGAGGTTTGTGTCGGAGCTCTGTGAGGGCGGTATCGGCGCTGTCTGGGGCCGGTGTCCGAGCTGTGTGAAGGCAGCCAGAGTGTGTCAGGGCTGTGTGAGGGCGGACAGAGTGTGTCCGAGCTGTGTGAGGGCGGACAGAGTGTGTCAGGGCTGTGCGAGGGCGGACAGAGCTCTGCCGGGGCCGTGTCGCAGTTCGCTGAAGGCCATGTCGGGACCCGCTGCCCCTCCCGGAGCTCGCCGTGCCGCCCCAGGCCCCGCGGCCGATGCCACAACGGGACAGCGCAGCCCGAGCCGGGGCACACCCGGCGGTCACCGGCCCTGCACAAACCAGCGAGGTCAGCTGGAGCCCCTCTGCAGCCAGGCTGGCAGAGCTCACCTTCTGAAAGACAACAGCATAGTGTTTGTTCATCAGGAAAAGCCCTAGGGATTGTGTAAGACGCAGGAAACAGTGACGCAGGAAGGCAGGATGTATGGAATCAATACATTGTGGAATTGAGAAATCTTTGCGAGCTGCGTAACCATATTTGGAGAAGTTGTTGCAGAGTTAACGCTACCTCGGAAGAAGAAGAATAGGAGCTTTCCTCAAACGACCACCGGACAGCAGAAAAAGAGACCCCCTAACAACAGGAAGCACATCCACAGAGCACATCTGGAAGGTCATGTCAGCAGAAAATGACAGTATAAAGAAGGACCGAGATAAGGAACTGAGGCGAGCTGTGGGTGGAGCAGAGACAGTGCTGCTTTTGCCTGTAGTGTCTTTATAAAGTGACACAAATTGGTCCTGTGTCATAATTTATAACAACCTGGAGAGGAGAAGCTCCAGGGAGAGCTCAGAGCCCTGCCAGGGCCTGAAGGGGCTCCAGGAGAGCTGCAGAGGGACTGGGGACAGGGATGGAGGGACAGGAGCCAGGGAATGGCTCCCACTGCCAGAGGGCAGGGCTGGGTGGGAGATTGGGAATTGGGAATTGTTCCCTGGCAGGGTGGGCAGGGCTGGGATGGAATTCCCAGATTCCCCTGGATCCCTGGCAGTGCCCAAGGCCAGGCTGGACACTGGGGCTGGAGCAGCCTGGGACAGTGGGAGGTGTCCCTATGGCAGGGGTGGCACTGGGTGGGATTTGGGGTCCCTCCCAAGCCAAACCATTCCATGACTCTGTGATTGTCTGGGGAGGGAGAACTCCTTTCACTGCAGTTTATCCATTTCTCAAATGTTCCATTGAATGCTGCAGTGAGCATTAAATGCAGTATGTTACAGCCCCGAATTGGGACTTGGGTTCAGCTCCCTTTTGCCAGCCACAAGTTCTGATCACAAGATTAAAGAGCTCCTCTTCTCTTTTTTTTTTTGTTTCATATTTTCTGTGGGCCTGCCCAGCTGCAGCCTTGGGGAGGTGAAGTCAGGTGTTCACCTTTCACTTCCCACCCCCTCAAGCACAGACTCCTCCGTGGGCAGACCAATGTTTTCCGAGAGGAGGATTTGAAACTCTGCTGGGCAAAGGTCTGTGCCCTCAACATCCTGACTGTTAAACAGGATGGGCTTTGCTTCTCAGGGAGAGCACAGACTGACTTTTGGATAAAAATGGTCCTGGCTGCTGCTGCCTCTTGTGTCATGGGGTGCTGCACGTACTCTGAGCACGTCTGCTGATCACAGGTCCCAGAATCCCGGAATCCCATTATGGGTGGGGTTGAGAGGGACCACAGTGGCCACTTGGTGCCACCTCCCTGCTCCAGCAGGGCCATCCCAGGGCACAGGGCACAGGGCTGTGTCCAGGTGGCTCTGGAATATCCCAGGGAGGAGACTCCAGCCCCTCTCTGGGCTCTGTTCCAGCTCGGTCCCTGCCCAGGGCAGGAGTTGTGCCTCCTGTGCAGGGAATTGCTGGGCCTGGAGCAGCCTGCATGTTGGGAAGATGAAACGAGAAAGCCTTACAAATATGATTGCTTAGCAAAGGATTTGGAAAATACAGAGACTGTGAGTGAAACTGAGATGAGAACAAGCTTTGAGATTTCCGACCTTGGTTGCTAAGCAGCTGGTGACCAGTGGTGTAGCTGGTAGGATGTAACTCCCTTTTTTGACCCTCCAAGGGTCAGATAAAGTGTTCTGTCTCATCCCTCAGAAATGCATAGTCCATCCCGCACCTGTAACCCTCCCCTGAAGTGTCAGGTACCCGTAATCCCATTGTTCCCAAGTTGTATTCCACACCTGTCGGAATCTGAGGTATTGATGATTCTGAGATTGTAGAAAGTCTCTGTCTGTCAGCCCCACTGCCAAAGCAGAAGCCATAATTGGTCTGTGCTGGTTCCAAGGTTGTTTATTCTGTTTATCTCTAACATGTTCTGCTGCCCTGCCGCAGCTCTGTCCTGCAGGGCAGCGTGTGGGGCTCTGCCCTCAGTGGGATGGTACAAACATTAAATACCACAAACTACCTGTGCTGGATTTACAATAACGTGCCAATATCTGTCACCTACGTTGGACAGTGTGTCCCCAGCCTGAACCAACAGAAAAATGCCAACACCGCAGTGAAACATGGAGGGCATGAAGAAGGAGAAAAAGGACAAGACACACCCAATTTCCTCCATCTTGTCCCCTTTGAACCCCTAATCTAAAAACCTAAAATTTTACTCTTGCACCCATGTCACACTTAATTATTATTCTTATCAAACACTCAAAGCTGGTAATTCATCCTGTAAGATTGAAAACTCTTTTCCATGGACAGAGATCACAGCCAGTGTCTCTGGGGGCTCTGTCCAGGGGGGTTCCTGACCCCTGCCAGGGTCCCAGACCTGCCAGGGCAGCCAGAGGGAAGCTCTGGATTCCCACACACACCCACTCTGAAACCCCCTTGAGAAGGTGTTCCAGGAGACCAGGGCCCTCTCTGCCCTCCTGGAGCTCCCTCTCGCTGGGGCTGGCAGCTCCAGGCAGGGCCCCACAATAATCTGTGTATCCTGACTCCTGGCTGCACAGATCTCTCCTCTCCATCCCTCCCAAACCTCCAGGACCAGCCCTCGCCACACCTGGGCCTGCTCTGACCTCCTGCACTTAGGGACAGCCAGGGACAGACAGGGACAGACAGACAGGGGCAGACAGACAGGGACACAAAGGGACAGACAGACAGGGACACAAAGGGACAGCCAGACAGGGATACAAAGGGACAGACAGCCAGGGACAGACAGCCAGGGACACAAAGGGACAGCCAGAGGGATCAGGAGATGCTCCAGGCTCCCTGGGCTGCTGGGCACAGAGGGATCAATACTTGGCTCCCAGGGCTGCTGAGCACAGAGGGATCAATGCTTGGCCCCCAGGGCTGCTGAGCACAGAGGGATCAATACTTGGCTCCCAGGGCTGCTGATCACAGAGGGATCAATGCTTGGCTCCCAGGGCTGCTGGGCACAGAGGGATCAATACTTGGCTCCCAGGGCTGCTGGGCACAGAGGGATCAATCAATCCTTGGCTCCAGCAGCAGTGAGGGGCACTGCCCAGCGTGTTTCAGGGCACTGCCCAGCGTGTTTCAGGGCACTGCCCAGCGTGTTTCAGGGCACTGCCCAGCGTGTTTCAGGGCACTGCTGAGCCCCAGCCAGACTCCGCCTGTGGGGGTTGTGACCTCCTGCCCCACAGCTGATAAGGAAACATTTCCTGATGTAACCACACCTCAGGGTAATCATTTGGAACCGCAACTGCTGAACCAGTCTGGCACTGCTAGAAACATTTTATAACCCAGTAAATATTTGCAGTTTATCTTCTGCTGAGCTTGACTGCAACTTCCTCACCGATGTGGTAGAAGAAAGGAGCAGAGCTGGTGTTGGCCAGGCCGTAGGAGAGCAGTGCTATCTGCAGAGCACAGGCAGCCAGGGGAGGACAGCGTGTGTCCCTGTGGCCATTGATATCTGTCCCAAGCGCTCCTGTAACGGAGGAAACGAGGCCTGCTGGAGTTTGGGCTCTGCTGGGTTTATTTCTGTTGGCTGACAGACAAAGGAGACACAATTCGGTGGTTTCTTCTCATGTCAGCTCTGGAACAGGTTAAAAGGGGTAAATACAGCATTTCATCTTGTGTGAAAAGTGTAGGAACAGAGGTCCAGGAAGGAAGGACCCAGGGAGCCCAAGGGGGGATCGGATCTATCTACCCCTTCCCAACGGATTTTTGTAATATCCCCTTCTCAGGCAATATCACCTGTGGGGTTTATTTGTGTTTCAGCATTAGAAAACTTTCCTGGTCTCTGTTTTATTGCAGTCC